GCACCTTCTGAAGGCCGCGGAAACGGCGCCAGCTCTCGGGCACGAGGCAGGCTGTACCTCTGCGTCTCGGTGCGCGAGAGCGGCTGTGGGAAAAAGACATTTGGAGCGCGTGATTGGAGCCAGGTGGATGTGGGTGACAGGCAGGCTCCAGGGAGGTGAGTCAGCCCTGGAAGATTCTGGTGAGCTCATCCCCTTGGTCCCCGTAGCAGGCACACGCCCTGGGCCCGCTCCATGTTCCAGAGGCCACGAGCCAAGCTGACCCACAAGCACAGCTGGGCCCTCTCTTCCCGAGGTTGAGGTCCAGCCTTCCTGCAGATTCAGCCGAGGTTATAAGCTGTCATTGACCTTTGTCTGTGAGTTATGTTCCCTCTCCTTTCTGTCCCCTTTGGCTTGGGGGAGAGGTGCCCCGTGGTGAGCCCGGGGGCTCCACCTGCCTCCATGAGGACTGGAATCTTAGGTGGCTGCCTGCAGAAGGTTCCAGAGTTCCTACATGCTTTGATTTCCTGCCTGAAACCCCAGAGAGAGACTGAAGCCCACCTGCCTTGATATAAAGCATTGGATGGAACCAGGGTCTGACGTCAGAGAAGAGGGATCTTGATCCAACACCTGGAGAGAATGGGACTCTTTGCCCATTCCAGGGAGGGGCTGTAGCTCAGCAAACGGTTCTGGGTTCAGCCCCCGGCATCTCCAGGACAGGTGAAGGAAGGAAGAACTGAGAAGCCTCTTTTTGCACCTGGACAGGTGTAGAGAATGACCCCGCTACCTGCCCTCAGTATCCTGGGAGGTCAAGGGGACCCACAGGGGGTGGTCTCAACCGAGGGCCCTCCAAACCTCGCAGCTCGCACCATCCGCCCAGATCCTGGTGTTTGGACCGGGCATCTCCTTGAAGCAAGGACCGCCTCTGCCAGTCTCCCCACCGGAGGACCGTTCTCCGAAAGTGGGACACCAGGTGGATGCGGCCAGGGACTGCGCCCACCTCTTCCCTTCCCGGGCCGCCTCAGAGAACCACGGCCACTGCAGCCCCGGCTGCTCTCCCAGGCTGATGCTCCCATTCTTTGGTTCCCATCCGCTGCCTCGCTTCCTGTTCTCCCAGGGACGGGACGCTCCGGAGGGCAGGAGAGGGCAGCACAGACCGGATTCCGGCTCCCCCGGGATCTGGTCCATGCAGCAGCTGCAGGGCACAGGGGCAAGACGGTCAAAGAATCCGGAGGAAGCCGGGGCAGGGCGCCGTCTGCACAGCTGCGCCGGGAAGGGGGGTGCGATGGGAAGCGACCTCGCCGGCACCCATTCCCCAGCCGCCTGCTGCGTGGGGACTGGAGTGGCCCCAAAGAAGCAGCCGCTTTGCATGCCATTTGCATGTGGGTCATTTATGTGCCTTGATGCAGGCTGGGAAAGAGAGCTTGCTGCGAGTAGGACTTTTCTGCCTCCACACACAGAAGATCGCTTAGAAATGCCGTAACGCTTCTCCCTGTTCAGGTTGAAACTGTCACCTGGATCCTGGCTCTAGTTTTTGGTGACTGGCACCTTCAGCGGGCTAGAGAGAGCTTTGAGAAGGCCAAGCCGCCTTTCCCTGGCTCCACTGCCTTTCCCACAACTCCCGGTTGTGTGGTAGTTGCTCGGCTTCTGCCACCCCCTCCCGTGCGTTCCCAAAACTTGGAATGCTGCTTTCCGGAGAGCTTTAAGTTACAGCAGCTGGCATTTCGTGCATCTTGGCCCCGCTCCTTTGGCCTCTGGCCTTGCCTATCCCTGGAATGAGGCCCAGAGAGCGGCTTCAGCATGGACTCCGGCCCTCAGGCTGAGAGAGGCTCAGCACCCCTGCTCTAACCACTGCCCTACATTGCCTCTCGATCTTCTCTTATGCTAAACACAGCTGGGTCCCTCAGAAACATACCCAAGGTAGTAAGCTTGCTGTGAATCCAAGGAGAAGAGTGCAACATTTCCTTGCTGGGTGGACAAAAGAACAGTGAAGTCTCAGATGGCTGGCAGCACAATGAGGACTAGTATCCTGACAAGAAAGACCTGTGTGTGATTAGCCAGCTGCCTTCAGGTGGAGGAAGCGACGGTACCTTGTTAACCAGGCCAAAGGACGGTTCTCCTGGCCACCCCTGGTGACTTTTGCTCATGGGAACCGTGGCGGAGGGAACATGTTTTTGCCTCAAGGAGCAACGTATCTTGGGCTGCCCCGGCTGTTTCAAGTGCTGGGTAACTCCTAGAAATTTCTTCCGTACGTTGTCCTCTGGCGCTGGCCTTAAGATTGGCCCCACCTCCTGGGCGCTCCATATGGTGGTGGCATGTAATGTATAATATGGTATGTATGTTGGATGGCGTAAGGGTTGTATATAAATGCAAATAATAATAAATAGTGTTAATAAATGTTAACCAGCCTAAGGGAATGTGCAGACTGCAGTACATGGCATTGGCCACACGGGGCAGCCCATTTTCTCCAGAGCTGGCTCTAGGCTGCCCTCCTGTGGCCACTACCACGCATTGCTCTCTGCGGATTACCATCGCAGTGGTGCCCTCCAGTGGCCAATTCTCTGCATTGCAGCCTCATCCCATTAGCTCAGTGAAAACATGCGCTGAAATGGGATTTTTTTTGTGTAGGGGCAAATTTTAAAACTGGTGTTAGAGTTTAAATAGAAATGTATATTTCACTATCATAGGGGGAGTAGAACTACTTGAGTAGTGTGTTCACTGCTCAGTCTGTTTTCAGGATTTCGGTGGGTAAGGACATTTTATGTGGGTAGAAGCTGTTCCTCTCTTCCTGAGCACTCTCCTCAAAACTATTTGCATGTCCAGCAACCAACACACTGCCTGTTCATAAGTACTGGAAATGGGGAAGACAGCCTGGGGCAGGGAGGATTTTTATGTGCTCCCAGTTTTTGTGTAGTGTTGGGGAAATGTGGATAAATCCTGGCAGAAAACCATTGCTTATATGTGCCTTTGTCTTACAAAATCAAACCCGCACTCTTTCTCAGAAGCACTGGCTTTGCAAGCCAAGTCACTGTTTAATATTGGTGTTGCCTTAAGAAAATGGCATTCCTTCCCCTCCCTTCTCAACCTTCTTCTCCCCTGTGGCTATGGGCGAGAGCAGACAGGAAAAATTTAGTATTCCATTTGGTTGAATACACAATCATGCTGCAATGAGATTGTGTAGTCCCTTCAGGAATTCACAGTTTACCAAGAAGTATTTAGTTAGCTAGCCCCGAGCAGAAAGGTGCAGATTCATAACTCATAACTAATTCCTGATAACAGAATATAACAGATGAGCTTATGATTTCAGGAATGGTTTCTCAATAGCTTGAATTTACATGTCTAAGCGGATCCGGGGCTGGGTTCAAGTTTCTGGAATTTACTCAACAAAATGTCCATACACTGCGATTAGAAATATTGTCATCTTCCGGTCATTTGTGTGTTTGGCTGATGTTCCTTATCCGTTCTATATAGGATGGTCTCAGATTCTCATTGTCCTGCCGTTCGTTGTTCTGTACCTGTGTACGTGACCGGGAGAGTATGGAATGCGTGTGCTTGTACTGAAACCTCGCAGCCGAGTTTGCCTCTGCCCAGTGATGCGTTATCGCTAGTCTCCTGCAGGAAGTCTTGGGGCTTCAGACAATAAAGCAGCGGAGGCTGGAAACGTTTCCTCCTCACCACAAAGCCGAGTTTTTATTTCCTCCTCACAAACTGAAAACCGAGATTCTGTCAATTTGGCGATGAAGGCGGGGCATGGGATTTGAACCCTTAATCCTGGGAGGAAGAGATGGTAAGTTCGGCCGAGATTCTCCCCATTGTGGGAGCACGGATCCTGGCCATGTCGTCCGTTTCACAGGTGGGTCAAAGTGATTGGATCTGGTTTAGAACCTCATAGCATGCGGGCTTCGTTACGGGCACCCAGGAAGCACGGGGATTTCCAAATCCCGGCTTACTACCCCATGGGTGGCGCCTGCGGGGCTGTCACGGAAGCGCTTGGTATTTTTGTGTAAAACAGCATGGTCCAACCTGACTCGGAGCTGCCACTTTAAACTGGCCCCATCATTGATTGGCACCGGCTGAACCACCTGCGAAAGCAGTTGGTGGAAATGCTTCCTAAGCAGATGGAATACTGGTTTTTGCTTTGGTTCACAGTGGAGAAAAAGCTAGTTTATATGGTATTGGTGCACCAGGAAAGAGCTACACGCGTGAGTACATGTTTGCATTGGGGTTTGTGTAAAGTTTTATGTTCACTGTTTGTGACAGTTCCTTGTTGTTTGTGCGTATGCTCTGTCTGTCTGTTGTAAAGTGTTCTTCTCTCTGGGAGGTAGGCATATCCCAGAGAGGGTTTTGGGGGTTCCTCAGGAAATAGACGCTCCCCACGCAGCCACCCCAATCCGTCCTCTTCAGGGCATGGTTGAAAGCAAGGGCGTTCTTGCCCCTGAGATGAGAATGTGTGAAACCTGGCCTTGATTGAGAAAAAGATTCAAGCATGGCTGAGTTTGGCTGGGCCACAGGTCCTGATCAGGGCACATGTGCGTGAAAGTCTTTTTCTCCACCCGTACCTTGAACATCAGCCAGACCTGAGAAAGGTCAGGAACTGTGTGGCCCTTTGAACTGGGCTTGCAAACACAGGTCCTACACATTTTTCTGGCCTTCCTTCATAAGCTTATCCTGTGTGAAAGTCCTGTAAGCAAGAGGAGTTATATAGGAGCAATTTTTATGCAATAAGGCAATCAGCATTTAAGCGCTCATGTTCATCTTAAGTGCTCAAGCAATTGACTGTTTGGTTGAAATGTGCCAGTGCAGGTTTGCTTGTATTCACAGCGGGTTGGGGCGTTTAGTATCGATGTATGTGGGGCGCAGCTTCTCTGTAAATAAGAAATTGTGAGAGATTGTCTTCTCACTGTCAGTATGTTTGGGCAATTTGGGGGAGGGAGAAAGACAGGGAAAAGCGATGCTTTCATCTGTTCCAGACAGATCAGGTATGACTCAAAGACAAGTAATCCAAATGCAAGGCCAAGCAAAAATTTAGACTGGAAACTAAAGTTTATTCCAAACCCAGGGGGAGGAATCCAGGCCCGAAACTTGACCAGGCAAGAAAAGGGAAAACCATGCAAACTTGCAAACATTCACGATTGCTTTTAGTCGCTGAGCTGTGCGAAACAGTCAGAGGCCGGCCAGGGCTTTGCCGTCTCTGGTCATCAGCAACCCTTCTGGGGTTTCCGAGCATAGAAAACCCCCCACCGCTGGTCCCCATCCGCACAGCGCTCCAGTTTCTCCTGCCATCCGGAGGCCATTGCCTTGAACTCGTCCTCTGAGAACTCCTGGGGTATGGAGACAAAGAAAGGGTCAGTAATGTGGGTGCGGAAAAAGAAAATCTAACATTCCCGGTAGGGCAGAGACAGGGAAACTGTAGCTGCTTTTCTCTCGTTTCCCGCATCCCCGGTGTCCAAAGCCCTTCTCACTGCAAAGGGCCTGACTGTGAGGATTTAGGGCAGGGGTGCCGAACCCGTGGCGTGTGTGGCACAGCGGGTACACAGAGCCCTCTCGGCCGGCACGCGAGCCCAGGCGCCCCAGCATCGCCCCGGCAGCCGAGCCTCGGATAACAGCGCTTTCGGGGCCACGCGCACGCTCGGAAAGGAGTAGCGGCGCCAGGCGATGGCGTCACGAGCCATAACTCATTAGTTGCGACTCATCCGAGCTTCCACATGGCTGTGGAAGCTATGGCTGGTCAGTGCGCTGCTATTTGCTTGGACTGGCTGTGAGTTGTTTTTTCTAAACGAAAACCTCAGTTTTCAGGTTTTATTGCAGTGTTGGCACTTTGCGATAAATAAGTGGGTTTTGGGTTGCAGTTTGGGCACTCGGTCTCGAAAAGGTTCACCATCACTGATTTAGGGTAACACCAAGGTACCTAGGTGTCCTCTTTTATAAAGAACAGTCCTATATTTGAAGCTGTTGGTGGCATGCAACAGCTTCAAATATTGAGTACCCGGAGGAGGGCCTTCTCTGCGGTGGCGCTCAGCCTATGGAATGCGCTCCCCAGAGAGGTCCGCCTGGCGCCGTCGCTATTTGCTTTTCGGCGCCAGGCCAAGACCTTTTTATTTAAAACTTATTTTAAGTGTTAATTTATTATGTAGGATTTAAAAAAAAATTTAAGCCAAGATGCACCGGGTTTTAATATCTTAGTGTATACATTTTTGTATGATTTTGTTTGTTTTTGTTTTTTGTTGTGAGCCGCCCCGAGACTTTGTTGCGTTGGGGCGGCATAGAAATGTTTTAAATAAATAAATGCAGTATATTTCTAGCCAAATCTCCCCAGGCAATTAAAACCCTTCAAAATATCATTGATTATAATTTACTTATTAAATTTCTGCCCCACCCATCAAGGGATGTATGATTGCAGGGTGCTGTCCTACGGGGCTCTGACCACTCTACATTTCTTTGATACTCTCCCTGCCCAAAATATCACGCTCTTGAGCCCCACAGGGAAGGGAGGGGTTGGTTCCAGGCCGATATCGCACCCATCTCCTCGCCCACCTGCACGAATTGCTCCCGGCTTCTCTCCAGCTCCCGGAGCTCTTGCGTCAAAGCCAAGACCATTCGCTCCGTGTGGTCCAAGGCCTGGACCTGGCCGAACCCAGCCTCCTCCAGTACCTGGGTAGGACAGGAAGGGGTGAACAGCCTGGCCAAGTTGCAAAATCCACACGCAGCCTCACGGTCTGCCACATCTTGCCTTCCAAACGCCAGTTTATGAAGTCTGGTATCATACAGTGAAAAGTGTCAGAAGGTCCCAGGAAGGTCCCATTCTCTGGCTGGCGCCAGACTTTGCCCTCATCCTACAAACCATTTGCACACTGGGAAGTCAGACTGCACACCCCCGGCACTTAACACAAATCAAGTACGCCTGGCTCTGGAGCGGGGATGCAAAACCTCAGGCCGGGGGGCTGAATTTGGCCCTCCAAGCTATGCGCCGTCCTTTCCCCTGGCCATGCCCCTTTCCCTCATCCACCAATCCTTTGCGGTTTCCTGACTTTTCTGCCCCCCCCCCATGTAAAAGTTTGACATGGTTCCCCAACAGCTCGGTTTAATTGCAGAAACTGTGTGAAGCTTAGAGTCACAAAGAATCATTAGCATTTTTGGCTCTAGTCTCCACTGGAACGTGGCTTCCCAGAGCTGTTTGGGCTGCCTGGGGCCTAGAATAAGAACCCGTGGGGCTTCCTCTGTGAAGCATCGTAGTCAAAAATTAGTCATGTTACACACAAGACTAAAATCACCGCCACCTCCAAAGGCACCCGCATATTAGAAATCCCGCTTCGGAAAGCTGCCAAGCCCTTCCAAAGAGCCGGACAAGGAGAATTCTGCACATTTTGACAGGTTCATATAATCAGAAGGGACCTCGAAGGCCATCTAGCAGAGCTGTGCATAATGCAGAATGCATCACTCAGACGGCACTGCCACCTTTTCCGAAAGATGCCCCTCCAGCCGCTGCTTAAATATCTCCGGAGGCAGGGCTTTTTTTGTCATAGAACGCATCGGAACGGTGTTCCGGCACCGGTTTTTGACGGATTTTTCCAAGTGATTGTGAATCGCTCTGTCGGGCATAGCAGGTCGGCGGCAAAACTCATTAACGTAGTGCCTGCGGGCTGCCTGTGTGTCCGTGCTGGTTGCGAGGGCGCTGCTCGGTTTGGGGTGCTGCTCGGCTTGGGATCGGTCTTGTGGTCACACGCTGAGTGCTTACTGCCGGCGGCGACCATTATGTTTGTGTGTGTGTAGAGTGACTGGCTACGTGCAAAAGGTAAATAAGTTCTTTATTTCAAAAAAAGTTGGTGAATTGAAAATCTTTTTTAGTGTAAAAGTGTGACCCCAAAATGTGAGTTCCGGCACCTTTTTTTTTTTAAAAAAAGCACTGTCCGGAGGCATCCCTGGCTCCCCGCTGAACCGGTTTTGCCGTCTTTTGGACATTCTGCCAAATTGCACTTCGAACACGGCTCAGCAAGGGCCTGCCGTTGTCCTTCCTTAGCAGGACCATTTTGTAGAGATGGCGGGGTGGGCACACACGGACTGTTTTTCCATGTTCCCCACCTGGAGAAAATGTGCTTGTTTCTCTATCAGAGCTACATGCATGGGTTTCTCCCCCACCCCGGTGCCCAAAAAATCAGAGAGGTTTTAAAAAATGACCCCACCCCACTCCCCTGGCATTGAAATGGTACAGTCCAGGAAGGGCTGTTCCACATCATTCTTCTGAACCCAGAACTTGGCCACGATTTTAATAAGGTACATAATCCGACTTGTTTGGGGGTATTTATTGGCCCCGCATACTATACCTGGCCGTATTCTTGGGGTGTGAGCAAGCTGTACCCCCTCTGTGTGACGTACTCGGTGAACGCTTTTGACCAGGGTCGAGGCCCGCAGCAATAATCAGAAATGAGGAGTTGTCCTCCGGGCTTCAGCCATAACTAAGGAAAATAGATGTGAGGCTGTTTACAACTGACACTGTGCATTTATCTGGGGGAACTTGCTACCTTTTGCGGGGTGGGCACGATTTTCATTTTGTTTTACATTGAGTCAGGATCCTGCAAATGGGAGAAGATACAAGCCCTAAAGTGGGCGGAAAACCCTTTCCCAACCCAAAGAATGCGTTAGCTCCAGGCCAGCCCAGCACTGGAAACTGGATTTTCTACCCTTCTAAAACTCCTCAAATTTCTTCTTTGTGGCAGCTTGATATATTCACCAGGAATCTTCCAAAGAGGGAATTCTTGTCCGCCACGTGTAGGATGGTGTCTCGGCTGTAAACGACGTCGAAGAAGCCCTCTGGAAACGTCCTTCGAGTGGCATCGCCGATTTCGAACTGCACCTAAAACACACGGCCGAGAAAACAGCGGTCCCTGAGGAGTAACGTCCAAACGGCCCCCCATCACACCAGGTAACATATGGGAAGCACTAAGAGATATCTGCTTTTAGTCTTCAGGCCCCATGCCCTTGAAGACATTAAATCAGGGTTATTCCAGTGGCGGATGCAGCCAAATTTCCACAAATGACACCTCTTCCCACCAGGAATTAAGGTGGGTGAGACATTCCAACCTTTTAGACGGAAAGTGAAAACGGGACAAAATCACCGAAAAATGGGTGGTCCAGGCAGGGGAGGGAAAGAAAAGGACGGGCCTTGGAAATGGCAGAGGACTGGATCTGGGCCCCACGTGCTATGGGCCCCACGGATTTGCTTTGAGGTTCTGCACCTGCTTGAAGACGCGTGCTAGCAGCCACACAACGGCCCTCTGAGGTAGGCTGGGCTGAAAATCAGAGCCTGGCGCTATGCGAGTTTCATGGCCCAGCGGGAACTAGGAGTCGGGTCTCCCGCGTTCCTCTCCAGCCATACGCCCCAGTGATCGCAGGATCATTCCCGCAGCTTGGCCTTTACCTGGGCACCTGGTTCCTTCTGTCCTCTCTCCAGGGCCAGCTCCACCATGTTGCGGGAGAGATCTAAGCCCAAAACCTCCACGCCAAACTCCTGAGGAGGCAAGGAAAGCATTTAGGACCAGCGGACGGGATCCTGATATCCGCCAGCGAGCGGCTTGGGAGGCCCGCACGTGGCAAGCATCAAGTTCCTGGGTTCATGGATCACGTCTGAACCCAGGACTTTGTGATCCGTGCCAGAACTAGCCACTTAGCTCCCTTCACGCAAGACACCATTCCTTGGTTTTCCTCCAAACTTTCTTCCCGAGCTGTAGAATATTCTAATTCATTCAAAATCAAGAGTACCTTTGATATCATATTTGCATATTATCCATTGTAAACTCCAAGCTGGTATCTCCTACCTACAAATGCATTTTTCGTAAGGTCTGAAATGTATATAATGTCTTAAATTGGACCCACAAAGGGAGATCTGTTCCCCACGGCCTCTTTCTTCCTGTTTACTATACCCCTTTCTTTCTTTTTCAAAAACTCTTGGTTCCACAAACTGAACCCATTTATGAAGAAAACGCTTTTCTGTTCTTTTTGCCTGACCAGTGGAAATCAGAAAACCTTTCCCATCTCCTACAAATTTCCCAGGTGAATCTGTTAGCGTCTCTCCTTCCTGTCTTGACATCCTGGAACGGAGAGCAAGCTCTAGAGCATTTGCTCTCTCCAAAAAGCAGCACACATTGGTGACCACCATCACAATTGTGATGTTTAACAATCAGCCACAGAAATTGGCGTTACATCCGTACCTTGGCCATGTAGAAATCGCTTCCACCGATTCCACACCCCACATCCAGCACCCGCTGACCCGGTTTGAAATCCACCATGCGCATCAGTTCCTACCAAAAAATGGGGACGTTACGGATGCAACCTCCAGTCCTTCCTGGGCACGTTCCCCGAAGACTCATGCAGAAGATCGGGAGTGCTAAGTACCAAAACGGCCCGGACTACAGGACCCAAAATAAAAGCTCATATTTTACACGTGTTCTGCTTTTCCAGAGCCTGGGTGTGTCATTCAGGGATTTGGTCTGCTGACAACACAGTTTGGAAAAAGGAGGCGAGGAAAAGGAGAACGCTTGATTTCAGAGCAAACGTCTGGCGGAAAGATGCCAGGCAGGGGCAAAAGGAGGGGGAAGGACATGTGGGCCAAAAGCCGGCTAATTTGGGGCTCGGCTGAAACGCATTTTGAGGGCCCCTGCATATTATTTCAGCAAGTGAGCAGCAGGTTGTGGGGTGGGTGGCCCCACAGAGGTTCGGGGCTCCAAAAGAACAATTTAGGGCTTCAGCCCTGGTGGGCAGCTCTTTACCACTGCATTGGGACAACCTAGGTGGCTTCCAGGGTGCCATCATATTAGGGGTGTCTTTTGCATGTCTGGATTGATTCATTTCCCCCATACATGTTTCTAGGCCTTATGGAGGTTCTGAGCCATGTGTGTGATGGAATTCAGGAATTGGAGGAGTTGCATTGAGTGTGAATTCAGAAATGTGGAGCACCAAATACGAGGACTCAAAATCCAGCAGTCAGAATATTAGACTGGGACACACAAGATCCCGGTCAAATTCCCTCTCAGCCATGATGCTCGTCAAGTGGCTTTGGGTAAGTCAGTGACTCTCAGTGCCTGTATCTTGCAGGGTTGTTGTTTGGATTTATTAGGAGAAAAGGAGGGTCTCGTAGCCGCTTTGGGATCCTTGGGGAAAAACTGGGGTGCTGGTGACATGAAACGAAACGGAAACTATAATTCCCAAAGAGAATGATAGGAATCCACTTTCCCGGATTCTGTCCCCACCTTCCCATAAGCCACTTACCTGGGTGGTGCTCAGACCTCCGGTGCTGACAAACCCGGCCCCAAATATCCATTCGTAGCGGCGGATGCTGCGCAAGGCGTATTGCTCGTTGTCCAAGAAATTCTGGAAAGTGTCGTATCCCCGGGTTGACTCATAGTTCCGGGGAACTTTCTGGAGAATCCAGCACACCTGATTCCGGTTTTGTTTCCTCTGCAAAAGCACATCGGCAAGACGGGGGGTGTGTTGCGCAGGGAGGGCCTGGCTGGGGACCTTCTCAGGTTTTCCTCAGCTGATTGGACTGCCCTGTTTCTGGCTGTCAGTGTTTTAAGTGGTTCAAAATAGTTTTAACCGAGGCCTTTCGTATTCTCCGCTTTTAACTTGATCATTGTATCTTGGAAGTTTCTGTTGTAAAGCTCTTTGAGAGGTCTTCTTTGTAGTACTTTTCACTGATCAATTATTTTATTTATTTATTTAGGAAGCTTCTATGCTGCCCCATTCGCCAAAGCCTCGGGGCAGCTCACAATTAAAAATATTAGCATTACTTGTACATGGGGTTATTTTTAATCCCAAACAAAAGTGCCTCTTTTTTATATTAGCTTTCAGAAGGGACCTAAAGGACCTGCATTCTGTTGGTCTGGGGTATAAAAGTGCCCCATAAAACTATTCTTATGAAGATTTGGGGATCTTTTCAAGTCCTGGAAATTACATGGTTTATAGAAAAAATGCTGAAAAAGGCCAGAAGCGGAAATTTGGGGACTATTTAGACTAGACACTTTGTGACAATCTTCCAGCAGGACTAAAGTATAGGACTACTTCTGTGTAAATTGCAGTACAGAATGTGAGTTAGGGGATTTCAGTTCCCCCATGATAAATCAGGGTGAAATCCTTCGCTTAGAAAAATAATGTGTGTGTGTGTGTGTGTGTAAACATGCAAGGATCAGCATCCTAAATATTAAAGAAATAAATGGGGACCTTGGCAGTGCAGTTCATTTCATTTTAAAACATTCCAGTTTCTAGTCCTAACACTGTTGTACCCAAGTAAGCCCGCTGGCGGCAGTTAGAACCCCGTTTTGCTGAATGCCAAACCTTTGGTTTTGGGGATGCCTCCATGTATTGGTTCTGCAAATATACGGAAGCTTCCCGGCAGTAATTTCATTATTCCAGAGCTCTGGAATTTAAGAGGAAAAGGGAAGAGGCTTACCTTTATGTAGGTTTGCACAGATCGGGACATGACGATGTCAAATCCGTAGGTGGCGTCTCCGGTGGTCACGTGTGCCGAGCTAAGGAGGCGATTGTACTCCGCGGGTGTCCGATACAGCGTGGGGTTGAAGCGCCTGGGGCTGTTTCCTGGGGGAAAAGAGACCAGCAGAGCTCTGTGGAAGGACACCGGCGTCACCTGTGCCCAGCACCAGGTTCTCTGGCATATCCGGGGAGCTAGGAAGGAGGCACGATCCCCATCTGGCCAAAACTTGGATGGCCATTGCTGGTCAACAACGAATAGGCCAGTGGCTGAAATCAGCCCTTTATTAAGAGCCATGAGGACTAGAATCTTGTTTTCTTCTCTTGGGGGAAGATCTACTGTGTGGCAATTAAGCTGAGGAAACAATCTACTGGCGCCAGCAGGTGCTTGGGGCTATGCAGAACAGATCTGGGCCCACCGGAAACAGATCTGGGGCCACATGAGCACGGGCCTAGCAGCCCCCTCCGTCACTGACCAAGTTCTACAGCTTACTGAGAACTGATTTCCTTTTTCAGGCCCCCTCAGCTATTGGACCACTGACCTGACGGATAGAAACAGGACTCCCGGAAGAAGAGATGCCCGTCTGGACGTAGCCAGAGAAGCATCTGTCGGGCGACGCTGATCAGCTCCGCATCCGAGAGGTACATGAAGAGCCAGTTGGAGAAGACGAGGTCAAAGCTACGGCAGGGAAGAGGAGGAGGAGGCGGTCAAGAGCTGCCGGCCGAGCTCCACCTTCGGAAGGGGAAGCTGCAGCATCCTGAATGCGTACGAAAGGTGGGATTTGGGCACATTTCGAATGGTACCTCCTTGCCCCCAGCGAACATGGGCTCCTGTGCTTCAGCCCGGGGCTTCCTAGGCTCTCAGCCACTCAAGAACTAGGCCTGTGGGACACAAACCCACATAAAATCTGCAGAAACACGTAATAGTGTAATTGGTTTGCCTTTCCCAGGAGGCAAAGCCGACTAAATCCATTCTCACTGCAAATTCTTCAATGCAATTGCACCCTGATCTGGATGACTCGGAGACTGTCTGAGCTTCATTGCCGTGCAGGGGAAGATGGGTGTTGTTGTTGATTTGCAGAGTGGGGGAAGGGAACTTTGCACCATTTGTGGGGGAGTTCATCTCCCCCCCCATTGCGATTCCCCTTCAAAGTGACCCCAATTAACAATTAAACTCAAGGGGGGGGGGAATACTATTTATTTATTTATTGATTGATTAAAAGCTTTTGTATGCCATCCTTTATATATAAATATCTCAGGGCGGCTTACAGGAATTTAAAACAATTTAACACAACTAATAACAACATCCACAGAATTAAAACAGTGACACAGTATGAAACAACAAATAAACATTGAGTGAATCAAATAAAATCAAAACAGAACAAAGCAAAAGCGACTGGAGAATCATTCAAATTGTTAACTTTTAAAATTTAAAATTTAAATTAATTAAAAAATCACTTTTAAAACTGAGGAATGTGTCTATTAAATGCCGGGTCCCAGGAAGCAGAATTGGGACATACCCAAATTTAACCATGCCTGTTTTCATATAACCAAAACTAGAAACATTGCTGTGACATTGACTGTTTAAACCCCCTGCCTCCCTTCCCTTCCCTTCTGTTGTTTCCTGCGTCAGGTGCTGGATTGTATGACCCTTGGGGCAGAGACCCATCCACCATGCGCCCCAGTGGCACTGAGCAAGCCAGCGGGCCACACCTCTCGGTCGGCAGCTGCAGGCTGGTAACGTCGGCCTGCAGGAACGCCACGTTGGATCGGTGCCCGTTCTCCTGTCGATTCTGCACCAAGAAGCTGTCCATGAAATCCACGGCCGTGACGTGACGCCCACGTTCGGCCAGATGCCCCGTGAATCGGCTGGAAGAGAAACGGAGAGGCCTCAGTCCCGCAAGGGCAACTGCATGGGGCAGTCGGAAGTGAAGGAAGGAGCCGAGAAGTTCAGCAGAGGGAGGAATGAGGAAGACGCCCTGAAATGCAGAAAGCACTGTGGAGACAAAGGTTGGTACTCCTCTGAGCATGCACAGAATGCTCTCCCTCTTACTGTGCAGAAATGCATGGGTTGCCTCACCCTGTGCGTACCATGAATTTCTTCCATTTCTTAAAAAGATGCTGGGACTCAAGCTTAACTTCTTCTTCCTTCTCTTTTCTCCTCCTATATTATTTATTTACTTATTTTATACTGATAATTTTAATTTTATATTATTATGTTTGTAACTCAGAGTATTTTTTGTATTTTTGTATTTAATGGTAATTTATTATGTTCGATTGTATTTCAATGTATTTTATTGTGTTGTAAGCCGCCCTGAGGCTTCGGCAAGGGGCGGCATAGAAATGTTATAATAATAATAATAATAATAATTAAGCAACCTTTCCCCATTCATGTTCACTTATTACATTTCCAGGCCGTCCAACATCCGAAGCTCTCTGAGTGCTTTTCAGAGATTAACGCCTCAAAGATGAAAAACGAAATGGAGGAGAATTATATAAGCCACCTTGCAGGCAAAAAGGTAGGATATAAATACAATTCATAAATGCATAATGTACATTATAAAATGTATTTACCTATAGCCGATCACCATTTACCTCCTTAGACACAAAGCGTTTAAACAATCAACAAAAAGAAAAATGCAAGGCCAGATTAAAAACCTCACAGTTTGCTGCCAAATACCAGGAAAGAAATGAAAATTCTGAATCTAGTGCTGCAAAATCCTCTACCTGTGGAGCCACCCCAAAAAAACCAGTCTCGGAGTTATTGGTCAAAACCGGTTCCTTGAACTGGGCCCAGAAAAAAACCAGCAGGCAGCGCAACTGGGCCAGAATCAATGTTCTGTGTTTGGGCCTGTTTTCCGTGCATTTCGCATGAGGTTTGTTTGCAAGGCCAGAAGCCAGATTCTCCCTATGAAATCCTACAAAGTGAAGAAAGACACTTTGCACATGGCCAGAAGCACTCTCCCCTTTATCCTTCCTTTACACGTTTCAGCAGTGTGCGATCTAGCAGCTGGACCCCGTGTCAAAACCCCTGAAAGTGTCCATCTCTGAGTGAGAGGCCCTCCACACCCTCTCCGCCAAGGCATTTCATTGCCGAATCTTTTGAGGGTGTGGTGAAAATGAGAGGGTCTCTGAGCATGTGCAGATGGAGTTAGCACAGAGAGAGATGTTTGGGGGCTTCATGGATGAGGTTCCTGAGCACATCCTTGGCCTCTGAGGAGGTGGGGGGGGGGTCCTGGGGAGCCACTCGTTACTGGCACTGGGCCCCCCACCCTTCCAAGCCCGCGGCCTCCCCACTCACCCTATACCAGCTCCCAGTTCTAGGACATCCTTTCCTTCCAGGCAAGGCAAGAGGGCGAGGATCTCCGGGGTGTCCTCCTCGGTGAGCTGCTGCGCGCCCGAGTCCAGCATCATCTCCTCCAGGGAGGGCTGCCGGGAGTGCTCCTCCCAGTACTGGCGCATCAGGTGCCGAGCCGAGGGCTCCGGTGCTGCCAGGGTGAGAAAAGCACAGCCTGCCGCTCGAATGCCTCCGTTGCGGTTCCAGCCCGCCGAAGCTGTGAGGCCAGACCGGGGTCCATCTCGCCCAGTACTGCCAACGCGGGCTGGCAGCAGCCACTGTCCAGGGTCTCTGGCCCGCCTGGAGATGCCAAGCAAGCTCCCTCCCGCCGGAGACTCTGGCAGCAGGCACAGCAGGCGAGTCGGTTAGATTTTGGCTACTCCCCTCTGACCCGCCCTCTGGACTGCCCCTTTCCAGAAGACCCTCGTTCTCCAGAGCAGAACCCAGGCCCCAGGGGGAAGGAGGCTCTGTGCCCCCAGCCTGTGACTGGGCCTCCTCCTCATTCAAGGGGCTTCATTTGGGGGGCGGGGGGCGATGGCCCTTGCAAGAAAAACATCCTCAAAGGGTAGGTCTGTTTTCCTCCCTGACCCCCCAAATTCTCCTCCCTCCCTGTTGGTTTGCCTACTTCTGCCCCATAGGAGACCTCCTCCTCCTCCTCCCCCTCCCCCTCCTCAGAGTGGAAGGCCTTTTGCAGGATAAAAGAGGACAGGTCCCTGCCCCAAGGGGACTCCAATCTAAAACTGGGCACTTGAACCAAGAGTTGAAGAGAGAGACAGGGGAATTAAGCCAGTGCTCCAGAGGGCTGAGGGTACCTTGTGCCCCCCATGTGTGGGGACTTGGCGGTCCTAACGGAGGAGGAAAGAGGGCCGCGCCGGTGCCACGCCATCTCTCTGGCAGGCGGCTCCAGACACGTGGAGCAGCGGGCGGAAAGGGCAGAACCTTTCGAAGGAGTGGAAGACCTTTGGCTGGCCGAGAGGAGGAGGGCCAAAGGGCACAGGGAGCCTGGCTCATCAGCTCGCTTCAGTGGGGTCCTCGGGACGGGCTTGGGGCGCAGCTCCGGGACCCCGCTTCGCGGAAGGAGCTGGGGGGCCCCCGGTTGCAGCTGCTGGGCTGGCTTCACACATCTGGGAGCCAGCAAAGCTGTGCTGCACAGCTCGCTCGCAGCTTTCAAAGCACCGAAAGCGGATCCCAAGGGCAGGAAACTCGGAAGCCAAGCGGGGCGAGATGCTCCGCAGGGAAGTGCCGAAATCCGTGCTTAAGGGGGCCATCACAGCGCTCCACCGCTGCGTCGGGGGGAGCCGGCGGAGGAAAAATTGCGGGGTGCAGGCAAGAAGCGATCGATTGGCACGGGGGCGTGGGTCCTCCCAAGCCTCAAATTCTCCAGGGCTGGATCAGACCCGCCAGTCTCGAGAAGTCAGGCTGCCGAGTTTGGGGAGAAGTAGCAGAGGGCAAGCCTACCCCTGAATTTTCTCTTCTCTGCCCCCCTTTTGGCAAACAAACAAAAAAGTCCACAATTTTGTCCTTGAAAGTCCTGCAGAATGGAGGAACGGCCCCCTTTCCTTTTCAGGGCCCCCTCCCCAAACTTTTCGCTGCCTAAGACGCGCCTAGCTGCCCTTTTTCGCTCTCCTTTCAGTGCCTGGGGGGGGGTGTTGGGGGGAGAATCAGTCCCAAAACGTGTGGCAGCCCCACCACCCAGTTGCCAGCCAAGCCGGAGAAACTTCAGGGCTGCCCACAGCTGCCCCTCTTCCTTGCAAGCCCCCCACCCCCAATTCGCCGACCCTGGACTGCCCCACTCACCTCCCGCCATGAGGTCAGCCTGCTCCCTCTGACTTCTTCTCAACTCCTGCATTTTGATTAATCATTAATTGACCACCGTCCTGATAACGGGGCTGACAGGCAATTGACAGGATCAGCTGTTCATCCACGGGACCCGCCTCTCTGCCCGGGTCAGGGAAACTCGGCGGATCCCTTCTGGGGTGGCGTTTGAGGGAATTCAGAGATCCCGAGCAGAAGCGCAGGCTGCGCTGCAACGTTTTGTGCGGTTCCTTTCCGGTAGCCAAATCTTTGCCACTCTGAGCCACAAAGGGCAAGAGAACCCCCTTCTCTCACCCGCCTGCCCCATAGGCTTGCTTGCAAGGACAAATGCCCCCCCCCATTGTGGGGCAGGGAGGGAAAGCTCATTTAAGGGGCCCTGGGCTACGGGAGAAAGGGCGGGAGGAAAAGAAAGGGGCAACAGTTTTCTAGATGATTCTCCTTACTCAAAACCGTTTTATTGACCCGATATTTTAAACTTTAAATATTTTAATCTGGTTTTATTAACATCCTCAGTCGTGTTTGGTTTTGTTGCTGATTGTTGTATTTATTGTTTGTTTATCACATTGCAAGCAATCCAGAGACAATTAGTATAAAAAAAGGCAGGATAAAAATAGCGTAAATAAATAAGTTTTGTCTGCAGTCAGTTCGCGCAGGACCCACACAGAGACGCCGTCGTTTGTGGCCAGGCTGCTCGCAGTTAAGCCGCCGTGAGCAGGTAGCCGCTCTTTCCACCTCTTTGGTCTGCACAGTTCCTGAGAAAGCTCCTTGGATGGTGCTGGGAGCATCATGTGAACAGGCTTCCTGCCAAAGCGCGCCCCACGCGGAGAGATCTGCTTCTGGGAGGCGCTCGGCTTGCTTTTCCGGAGGGTCTGCTGGGTAGGGGGTCTTTGGCCTCTCTGCCAAGCCTCCCTTTGCTCCAGAAATGGAGGCACAAACGGCTGCCTCCTGCCAGCGGACAGAAGCCGCGACTCGCCCGAGCTTCCGCATGGCCAGTTGGTGTGCTGCCAAGGATGGATGGATGTCTGTTTGCTTGGACTGACTGCGAGTGGTTTTTCCCAAACGAAAGACTCAGTTTTCAGGTTGTATTGCAGTGTTGGCACTTTGAGATAAAGAAGCAGGTTTTGGGTTGCAGTTTGGGCACTCGGTCTCTAAAAGGTTCACCATCACTGGGTTCGAGTTAGAGAAACGAGGTGCCCTGGCATGGTTTTGATGGTTGGAATGTGTTGAGAATGGGCAGAAATGTTGAGATGGGCAGAAAAAGCCACTCAGGGGAGGCTTTTTAAAAATTGCCCTCTTTGCAGTGGAACTTTCACCCTAAATTAGGGTTAGGGATCTGCCCCAGGGTAGGGTTAGGGTTAGAGAAACGAGGTGTCCTGGCATGGTTTTGATGGTTGGAATGTGTTTAGAAGGGGCAGAAACGTTGAGATGGGCAGAATAAGCTACTCAAGGGAGGCTTTTTAAAAATTGCCCTCTTTGCAGTGGAACTTTCACCCTAAATTAGGGTTAGGGATATGCCCCAGGGTAGGGTTAGGGTTAGAGAAACGAGGTCCCCTGGCATGGTTTTGATGGTTGGAATGTGTTTAGAATGGGCAGAAACGTTGAGATGCGTAGAAAAAGCCACTCAAGGGAGGCTTTTTCAAAATCGCCCTCTTTTCAGTGGAACTTTCACCCTATTTTAGGGTTAGGGGTTGCCCCAGCGTAGGGTTAGGGTTAGTTCCCCTACCTTTATGCATGTGGGGCTGTAAAGGTGGGGTATTAGGGTGTGATTAAGCATGTGTGGGGTTTTCTGCGGTAAACGATGCCGGAACGAGAGTTGCTGATCAGCAGCTGGGTGTGGGAGCAGAGCTGGCAGGAAGAGGCTATGACAGGCCTCTTTGTCCTGTTTAAAGTCTGCGGCTTTCGACGGGGACCATCCTATGCCTGTTTAGAAAGAAAAAAGTCCCACAGCGAAAGATCTCTGGGCCAAACCCAGCATGTCTCGTGAGGGGCAAGAAAGACCCGTTCCTAAAACCCCATAGAAGCTGCTGCAGCCTCGACCAGCCTTGCCTGCCCTGGCTTGCTGGGGAAGCCGACCCTGTGGGATGTTTTTCTGTCAAAACCCGCAGAAGATTTAGCCCTAAATCAACAAATAACCGAGGTTTTTCCTATTTCTGTTCTTCCCCATTTGTCTGGGTTTCTAGGTCAGGCGTGATTTTCTGGTCATCCTGAAGTTTTGCAAATCGGATCGCGTAGGTTTGGTTTCCGGGTCTTGCGATTTGAACAGCCACGAGGCCTTAGTATAGTCATTTTGGGTGACATTCAAGGCCACTTCCGGCCTTTTTCCTCTTCTGCTTGCACAGGTGCGCACGCTATGAAAGCTCTGCAGGTCTCTTTGTCTTACCAAAGAAGAGATCTGTGTAGTTCTGAGTTTGCAACCCTGCTTTCCCAGTAAAGGTGGTTCAGTGAGCAAAATTCCCCAGGTCACCCTGATTTTTCTTTCTTTCTTTCTTTCTTTCTTTGTGGTCAACCTCTTTATTTTGATGAGGATGAGGATGATGTTGATGATGCAGCATCTAAAAACAGAAGGAAAACAACAAGATTTCTCTCTCTCTCTCTAGATCTTGGGACTCTACAAGAAGGGGCTAAAATGCCGGGGTAAGTGGAGAGGCGGGTCAGAGCTTGGTGTCCGTACGGGGTGCAACATGCAAGCCACGGGGCATGGACAGAAGGCAGAATATCTTTGGAAAGCAGAGTGCAGATCCAGGCTCGTGCCCAGAGGCATTTTCTGTGGCCTTGCGCTGGGAAGCTTTTCCAGCCCACGGGCTGAACTCAGTCATGGCAGACAAGCGCCGCAGGCAAGCGGATCGTGGGCAGAAACACCCCAAATGCCGGCCTGGATTAGCTCCCTGCCGCTAGGAAACCCCCCGAGGAGGCGCTTCTTGGTCCTTTTAGGATGGGTGGAAAGCTACGCAAAAGCTGGGAAATCCGGGTTGGAAGTGGGGCAGGGGAACGGGGGTTGGCCGTGGGGGGACCCCAGGTCGGTAGTCCCTAGACCTGCATCGCCCAGCCCTATTTTACAGCCACCGGCCAGCCCAAATCAGGCTTTTTGGGGGGCGGGGTGCCAGAGGCCGGCCTTGCAAGAGAAGGAGCGGGGCGAGGGCCCACGCAGTAACGCTCTTCCACGCTTCGTGCAGCGTGCAGTGTGAGCTGCCACAAGCAGTGCCGGGACCTCCTCTCCGTCGAGTGCCGCAAGCGCACCAAGAGCGTCAGCCTGGACGGCCCCGCGGCGCTGCCGGCCCGCTCCTTCAGCTTCTCCCTGCCGCGGCCCGGGCGGTCCTCCCTGAGGCACTCAGGTACGGACGGAGCGGCTCCTCCCGGCGGGGGCATCGCAGGCATGGATCTGGACACCGATGCCGAGACCGTGCGCCGCGATAAGACCGGCGGGGCGCCTTGACGTTTCACAGCCCGGGCCTCCCGTCCGAATCACAACCCTAGCTCACTTGCGCCCCACCCCAGAGGGCCCCCTTCGGCTTTCTCCCTCCCCACACCTCTCACTTCCCCTCGAAGGAAAATTGCCCCCTTGCATAAGAAGCAGAGCGACTCAGAAGCGGTCTTTGGGTCATCTAGTCTGACCCCTGGCTCCGCTCATGCCGTGTCCACCGAGTGCCATGCCCAAGCACAGAAAGGTTTGGACAGGTACCTGGTAAAACCGAGCTCAGAAGACGGGCTTTCAAGAGGATTCTTTCCTGTTGATTCAAGATTAACTGTCCTGTGTGTGTGTTGGGGGGTATTTTTGGTGGGGGGGTCTTCCCGAAACCTGGGAGGGGAGGTTGAGCCCTTCCTTTCCCAGCTGCAGAGCAATTCAGCCAAGAAAGGAATAGAAATGGGAAAGAGGGGAGAGGTTAAACCTAACCTAACCCAAACCCTCGTCCTCCCTTCCCCTTACTACCCCCCCCCCCCGCTCTGCACTTCCACTCTCGGTTGTCACGGGAGCTTCCCAGAGCTCGAGTTGTTTTTCAGACCCTCTGCGCCCCAGCCCCTTCCCCTGCCCACAGAGCCGCACCCTGCGCCGGAAACCAACTTCCCTCCCAGATAAACAGCTCGGCCCAGTTTTGCTTCCTGCCACGTGCCTCTCGGATCAACAACTTTCAGAAGGGGGGCGCTTCCTGCGCCAGGCAAGCCCGGCGTGTTTGCACTGGGCGTGGGGGGAATCGCACTGCAGCCCCCCAGGCCACTGCCTTGAGATTTCCGTTCCGCCGCTGCTGCAAACAAACCAGCACTGTGCCCCGACGCACCAGGTGCTGCTTCGCTTCGAAGCAGGCGAGGTTTCGCGGCGGGTGGTGACGAAGCCAACCTCCCGCCTCGCAGGATCAGCGGGGAAGGAAAGCGCTTTTGACACCAAGGTGCCTTGCAGGCCTCTGAACTTGCCTCCCAAAGCGTCCCCACGCCCATTCAGCAAAATGTTTCCTGATCAACCTCAAGCGCCACAACATCTCCCCCTGGTGTTGCAAGACTTCCCGTGCCAGAGAGTTTTTTGGACCGACTGCTCCGCACGGACGCAGATTTTGGCTCCTTTGGCCCGTGGCGTCTCTGGGCACTCAAACGGTTCGGTTCCCGAACCGGCAGGTCACAATCTTGCCCACAATTTGCATACGCTGCTTGACATCAAGGAATTTTGATCAAATGACTCGGGTGTTTCGCCTTCACGGGCGGCCTGTTAATTCTCATCCAAATAAAAAGGAATGCTTGAAGGAGTCTTTAAAAAAGCATTTCTGTCCGCATTCAACGGATGCTCACATCCATGCTGGTCTCTTTGCAGAAATCCAGGAGGAAGAGATGCAGGCTGTGGAAGATGGGGTCTTTGATGTACACCTATGAGGCCGATGCGCAGGGCTAGCCTGAAATTCAGGCACCAGGTGACTGTTGCCAAGGTTTTCCTTTCCCTTCCTGGTCTTGAGTGGAGCCGGCTGGAGCGGGGGGTCAGACTAGATGGCCCAGGAGGCCCCTTCTGACTTGCTCTGCTTCTGTGTTTCTGTGAAAGGGTGGTGGTGCTGAGCTTGTGGCAGCATGTGAGGGAAGAAGGCCTGGTGTTTTTGCATTGAGCAACTTCCAGGCTAGGCTTCACTGGGAACAGAGAATCGAAGGGCCAAGACCTTGCGGCTCGTGGCAGCTGCTCTTCCTCCTCGGTGCCGCCCCACCCGGACCATCGGGTTCGGTTCTGGTCACGTTACTTCAAAAAGGCTATTTTTGAGTTGGAAAAAGGGCAGCAAAAATGATTCGGGGCTGGAGCAGCAGCTTAGAAAAAGGCGAGGCGTGTTCAGGGGTGGAGGAGACAGAGGGAGGCCTTTTCTCCCTCTCCCAGGACTCTGGAACCCGGGTTCTTCCCACGAAGTGAATTGGCGAGAAGGTTGGGACAGAGAAAAGGAAGTACTTTCTGCAATGAACAGTGGAACTGACGCTTGCAGCGACTGGAAGCGGTGCTGGTCGCCAGTCCGGATGGCTTGGAAAGGGGGCGAGGCAGAGGCCGAGGGAGGAGGCGCTCTGGCTGGCGGCCCTGCTGGCCACGTGCACCTCCTTCCCCAGAAGCGGCCGGCCTGCACGTGCCCGCGGCCGAGGGGCCGGGAGGCGGAGGCTGCCGTTCTTCCCGCAGCGACCCCGGTGCCTCGGAAAGGACGGGAATGGAGGCGAGGCGGCGGCGCAAGCCGAGGTTTGCACGGGTGCGGAAGCAAAGCGAGACGACGGCAAAGCAAAATGACCCCCGTGCACAGAGATGGCCCAGAAATGACCCCGGGCACGGTCGCTCTGCCCTTCCAGTTCTCTTTCTCGGGACGTGGTATTCCGCTGTCGGCGGCAGGGCAGGCCGTGGCTGGGCGCTTGCAAACGCCCCTCAACCCGGCAGGGCTCACTGGTTGGCCCCACTGCAAGGGGCGCTTTGCCCCCCTCTCGCCCTGGCCCAGACCCAGTGGGAGGAGGAGGAGTTGAGGGTCATGAGAAAGCCGACTCTCTGGCTCACTGCTCCGAAACCTGGCGCTTGCATTAAGAGCCGCTTGCCTCTGAGCAGGGGGTAGCATACCATCATGAGGACTAGGAACCACGGGAATGTGTTTATTTCGCTCTTAAAACCATCGCAGTGGACAGCCTCATACGGAGCTGGTTATGGGAGTCGTGCACCCAGCTCGTCCTGACTCTCCAAACCTCCATCCCAATGGATCGCTCCAGGCTCCGATTTTATGAGAGCAGGAAGAGGACCCCCAACTTCTCCCCCACCACTTTCTCCACAGCAAACCTCACTTATACCCCTGGATCGGTGGTGGTGAACCCGTGGCACGCGAGCCCAGGCGCCCCAGCATCGCCCCGGCCACCGAGCATCAGATAGCAGCGCACGTCGGGGCCATGCGCACGCTCGGAAAGGAGCGATGCCGCCACGAGCGGCCACTGGTCCGAGCTTCTGCATGGCTGGTCATTGCGCTGCCCAGGATGTGTATATAATTGCTCGGACCGGCTGGGAGTTGTATTTCTGAACTAAAACCTCAGTATTTAGGTTTTGTCGCAGGGTTGGCACATTGCGATGGATCAGTGGGCTTTGGACTGCAGTCTGGGCCCTCGGTCTCGAAAAGGTTCACCGCCACTGGCCTAGATCCGCCGCCTCCCTTCCCCGGCTCGGAGCTCCAGGCAGCTCCGTGTTTCCTCCGCCTGGAGGCCCTGCAGCCCCTGGATCATTGTGGCAGCTTGTTTCCGGGCCCCGTGAGCCCGGCCAGGTCCGCTGGGAAGAGTGGGGACCAGAACCGTGCGCACAGTCCAGGTGGGGTGGGACCATCGAGTCCTCTGATGATGGAAGAGCAGAGGGGGGAGAGGCCCCCGTGGGCCGTGGTGGGCGGGGCTAGAGGCAAAGGGGCGGGGCTGAGAGTGCTTCGTGTTGGGAGGGGCCGGATTTTCTTCAGCCTGAGCTCCAGGGTGGAGGAACGATGGGTGGGCGGGCACCCGCGGGGGTGGGCGGGGTTGAGGGCAAAGGGGCGTGGCCAGCTTCTTGAACCCACCCCCTCATTGTGCTTTGCCTTTGCAGAACCTTTCGTCCCTCCTTGAGCTTTCCCTCTTCAAATCCTCCACCATGTTCCAGGGCCTCACAGCGCCTCCCCTCGCGAGCGGAACATGACTTGCTGGTGGGCAGAGAGACGGTCCCTCCTTCCAGACGCCGCCTTTGCTCCTGCAACTTCCAAGACTTGGGGCGACGTGTTCCCTGGCCGGGCACGAGGGGTGGAGGTTCTCTCTCCGGTGATGTGTGTATATTTGTATCAAGAACTGGATTTCGAGGTGTAATACTCATTCTAATAAAAGCAACACACTCTGCCTGTCCGTCTTTTCAGTCCTTTCAATGGCCCACTGAACTCTCGTAGGGTTTTTTTCCTGGGATGAAGGAGCATTGATTCTTATTTCAGGAGCCAAGTTCTCCCTTGCACTCATTTCCTCCTCTCTTTTTTGCATGCTGGGTTATTTCCCTGCTTCTTTTCCGGGGCCCATTTAACTTCACTTTTCCTGGTTGTTCCTTGGGTCTTTAACAGGTGGGAATTCAACAGGCAAAGATCTCCTTCTCAAAAAGTGAATGTACTTTATGTTCAAATTGCAGACGCTTTAGGAAAGGGGTGTTAGTCTTTTTAGATGCGGAGCGAAAATTGCATAAAGGTAGGGGAACTTCTGCCAAAAATTGAAATAAAAAAATAAAAAAAATACCACGGGGACTAGAGGCTTGCTTTTTTATCAAGGTGGGGGCTGTAGGCTCAGGGATAGAGTCCCTACTCTGCAACCCGCCGAGGCCTTAAGCGGCCGAGCGCGATGCGGAGGCTGCATTCCCGCGCCTGGCGGACCCCCCAAAAGCAGCGCCGGTCCGTTAACGGGCTCCCGAGAAGCGGCGCCTGCAATGCACAGGAGTGGCCACACGAGGGCAGCCGACTCACCGCTGGGACCGTGGCCGGGCTGCACTTCACGGCAATGGCCACACGAGGGCGCCCGCGTCACAGCGCCGACTCCTACAGCGGCCGCAAGGAATTGGCCCCCGCCGGCCACCGTACTTTCTGACACCTGCGGCGGACGGGCCGTCCCGCTTCCCCGCACGAGCCCCCCCCGTCCCAGCTAAGGAGCCCCCCCGGGCCCGCCAGCACAGCACAGTGGGCCATTGAAAGGACGGAAAAGACGGACAGGCAGAGCGTGCTGCTTTTATCAGAATGATTATTACACTTGGGAATCCAGTTCTTGATACAAGTGTCAAGTCTCCGGAGGCTGCACTGGGCGGGACTGGCCACAGGAGGGCGCTCCAGCGCGCTGCGGGGAGCGCGGGCGCTGCCGCGCAGGTTTGGCCCGCGCAGGCCGCCGTAGCTGTGCTGGCGAAGCCGGGACGGACCGTCCGCCGCAGGTGTCAGAAAGTACGGTGGCCGGCGGGGGCCAATTCCTTGCGGCCGCTGTAGGAGTCGGCGCTGTGACGCGGGCGCCCTCGTGTGGCCATTGCCGTGAAGTGCAGCCCGGCCACGGTCCCAGCGGTGAGTCGGCTGCCCTCGTGTGGCCACTCCTGTGCATTGCAGGCGCCGCTTCTCGGGAGCCCGTTAACGGACCGGCGCTGCTTTTGGGGGGGTCCGCCAGGCGCGGGAATGCAGCCTCCGCATCGCGCTCGGCCGCTTAAGGCCTCGGCGGGTTGCAGAGTAGGGACTCTATCCCTGAGCCTACAGCCCCCACCTTGATAAAAAAGCAAGCCTCTAGTCCCCGTGGTATTTTTTTTATTTTTTTATTTCAATTTTTGGCAGAAGTTCCCCTACCTTTATGCAATTTTCGCTCCGCATCTAAAAAGACTAACACCCCTTTCCTAAAGCGTCTGCAATTTGAACATAAAGTACATTCACTTTTTGAGAAGGAGATCTTTGCCTGTTGAATTCCCACCTGTTAAAGACCCAAGGAACAACCAGGAAAAGTGAAGTTAAATGGGCCCCGGAAAAGAAGCAGGGAAATAACCCAGCATGCAAAAAAGAGAGGAGGAAATGAGTGCAAGGGAGAACTTGGCTCCTGAAATAAGAATCAATGCTCCTTCATCCCAGGAAAAAAACCCTACGAGAGTTCAGTGGGCCATTGAAAGGACTGAAAAGACGGACAGGCAGAGTGTGTTGCTTTTATTAGAATGAGTATTACACCTCGAAATCCAGTTCTTGATACAAATATACACACATCACCGGAGAGAGAACCTCCACCCCTCGTGCCCGGCCAGGGAACACGTCGCCCCAAGTCTTGGAAGTTGCAGGAGCAAAGGCGGCGTCTGGAAGGAGGGACCGTCTCTCTGCCCACCAGCAAGTCATGTTCCGCTCGCGAGGGGAGGCGCTGTGAGGCCCTGGAACATGGTGGAGGATTTGAAGAGGGAAAGCTCAAGGAGGGACGAAAGGTTCTGCAAAGGCAAAGCACAATGAGGGGGTGGGTTCAAGAAGCTGGCCACGCCCCTTTGCCCTCAACCCCGCCCACCCCCGCGGGTGCCCGCCCACCCATCGTTCCTCCACCCTGGAGCTCAGGCTGAAGAAAATCCGGCCCCTCCCAACACGAAGCACTCTCAGCCCCGCCCCTTTGCCTCTAGCCCCGCCCACCACGGCCCACGGGGGCCTCTCCCCCCTCTGCTCTTCCATCATCAGAGGACTCGATGGTCCCACCCCACCTGGACTGTGCGCACGGTTCTGGTCCCCACTCTTCCCAGCGGACCTGGCCGGGCTCACGGGGCCCGGAAACAAGCTGCCACAATGATCCAGGGGCTGCAGGGCCTCCAGGCGGAGGAAACACGGAGCTGCCTGGAGCTCCGAGCCGGGGAAGGGAGGCGGCGGATCTAGGCCAGTGGCGGTGAACCTTTTCGAGACCGAGGGCCCAGACTGCAGTCCAAAGCCCACTGATCCATCGCAATGTGCCAACCCTGCGACAAAACCTAAATACTGAGGTTTTAGTTCAGAAATACAACTCCCAGCCGGTCCGAGCAATTATATACACATCCTGGGCAGCGCAATGACCAGCCATGCAGAAGCTCGGACCAGTGGCCGCTCGTGGCGGCATCGCTCCTTTCCGAGCGTGCGCATGGCCCCGACGTGCGCTGCTATCTGATGCTCGGTGGCCGGGGCGATGCTGGGGCGCCTGGGCTCGCGTGCCACGGGTTCACCACCACCGATCCAGGGGTATAAGTGAGGTTTGCTGTGGAGAAAGTGGTGGGGGAGAAGTTGGGGGTCCTCTTCCTGCTCTCATAAAATCGGAGCCTGGAGCGATCCATTGGGATGGAGGTTTGGAGAGTCAGGACGAGCTGGGTGCACGACTCCCATAACCAGCTCCGTATGAGGCTGTCCACTGCGATGGTTTTAAGAGCGAAATAAACACATTCCCGTGGTTCCTAGTCCTCATGATGGTATGCTACCCCCTGCTCAGAGGCAAGCGGCTCTTAATGCAAGCGCCAGGTTTCGGAGCAGTGAGCCAGAGAGTCGGCTTTCTCATGACCCTCAACTCCTCCTCCTCCCACTGGGTCTGGGCCAGGGCGAGAGGGGGGCAAAGCGCCCCTTGCAGTGGGGCCAACCAGTGAGCCCTGCCGGGTTGAGGGGCGTTTGCAAGCGCCCAGCCACGGCCTGCCCTGCCGCCGACAGCGGAATACCACGTCCCGAGAAAGAGAACTGGAAGGGCAGAGCGACCGTGCCCGGGGTCATTTCTGGGCCATCTCTGTGCACGGGGGTCATTTTGCTTTGCCGTCGTCTCGCTTTGCTTCCGCACCCGTGCAAACCTCGGCTTGCGCCGCCGCCTCGCCTCCATTCCCGTCCTTTCCGAGGCACCGGGGTCGCTGCGGGAAGAACGGCAGCCTCCGCCTCCCGGCCCCTCGGCCGCGGGCACGTGCAGGCCGGCCGCTTCTGGGGAAGGAGGTGCACGTGGCCAGCAGGGCCGCCAGCCAGAGCGCCTCCTCCCTCGGCCTCTGCCTCGCCCCCTTTCCAAGCCATCCGGACTGGCGACCAGCACCGCTTCCAGTCGCTGCAAGCGTCAGTTCCACTGTTCATTGCAGAAAGTACTTCCTTTTCTCTGTCCCAACCTTCTCGCCAATTCACTTCGTGGGAAGAACCCGGGTTCCAGAGTCCTGGGAGAGGGAGAAAAGGCCTCCCTCTGTCTCCTCCACCCCTGAACACGCCTCGCCTTTTTCTAAGCTGCTGCTCCAGCCCCGAATCATTTTTGCTGCCCTTTTTCCAACTCAAAAATAGCCTTTTTGAAGTAACGTGACCAGAACCGAACCCGATGGTCCGGGTGGGGCGGCACCGAGGAGGAAGAGCAGCTGCCACGAGCCGCAAGGTCTTGGCCCTTCGATTCTCTGTTCCCAGTGAAGCCTAGCCTGGAAGTTGCTCAATGCAAAAACACCAGGCCTTCTTCCCTCACATGCTGCCACAAGCTCAGCACCACCACCCTTTCACAGAAACACAGAAGCAGAGCAAGTCAGAAGGGGCCTCCTGGGCCATCTAGTCTGACCCCCCGCTCCAGCCGGCTCCACTCAAGACCAGGAAGGGAAAGGAAAACCTTGGCAACAGTCACCTGGTGCCTGAATTTCAGGCTAGCCCTGCGCATCGGCCTCATAGGTGTACATCAAAGACCCCATCTTCCACAGCCTGCATCTCTTCCTCCTGGATTTCTGCAAAGAGACCAGCATGGATGTGAGCATCCGTTGAATGCGGACAGAAATGCTTTTTTAAAGACTCCTTCAAGCATTCCTTTTTATTTGGATGAGAATTAACAGGCCGCCCGTGAAGGCGAAACACCCGAGTCATTTGATCAAAATTCCTTGATGTCAAGCAGCGTATGCAAATTGTGGGCAAGATTGTGACCTGCCGGTTCGGGAACCGAACCGTTTGAGTGCCCAGAGACGCCACGGGCCAAAGGAGCCAAAATCTGCGTCCGTGCGGAGCAGTCGGTCCAAAAAACTCTCTGGCACGGGAAGTCTTGCAACACCAGGGGGAGATGTTGTGGCGCTTGAGGTTGATCAGGAAACATTTTGCTGAATGGGCGTGGGGACGCTTTGGGAGGCAAGTTCAGAGGCCTGCAAGGCACCTTGGTGTCAAAAGCGCTTTCCTTCCCCGCTGATCCTGCGAGGCGGGAGGTTGGCTTCGTCACCACCCGCCGCGAAACCTCGCCTGCTTCGAAGCGAAGCAGCACCTGGTGCGTCGGGGCACAGTGCTGGTTTGTTTGCAGCAGCGGCGGAACGGAAATCTCAAGGCAGTGGCCTGGGGGGCTGCAGTGCGATTCCCCCCACGCCCAGTGCAAACACGCCGGGCTTGCCTGGCGCAGGAAGCGCCCCCCTTCTGAAAGTTGTTGATCCGAGAGGCACGTGGCAGGAAGCAAAACTGGGCCGAGCTGTTTATCTGGGAGGGAAGTTGGTTTCCGGCGCAGGGTGCGGCTCTGTGGGCAGGGGAAGGGGCTGGGGCGCAGAGGGTCTGAAAAACAACTCGAGCTCTGGGAAGCTCCCGTGACAACCGAGAGTGGAAGTGCAGAGCGGGGGGGGGGGGTAGTAAGGGGAAGGGAGGACGAGGGTTTGGGTTAGGTTAGGTTTAACCTCTCCCCTCTTTCCCATTTCTATTCCTTTCTTGGCTGAATTGCTCTGCAGCTGGGAAAGGAAGGGCTCAACCTCCCCTCCCAGGTTTCGGGAAGACCCCCCCACCAAAAATACCCCCCAACACACACACAGGACAGTTAATCTTGAATCAACAGGAAAGAATCCTCTTGAAAGCCCGTCTTCTGAGCTCGGTTTTACCAGGTACCTGTCCAAACCTTTCTGTGCTTGGGCATGGCACTCGGTGGACACGGCATGAGCGGAGCCAGGGGTCAGACTAGATGACCCAAAGACCGCTTCTGAGTCGCTCTGCTTCTTATGCAAGGGGGCAATTTTCCTTCGAGGGGAAGTGAGAGGTGTGGGGAGGGAGAAAGCCGAAGGGGGCCCTCTGGGGTGGGGCGCAAGTGAGCTAGGGTTGTGATTCGGACGGGAGGCCCGGGCTGTGAAACGTCAAGGCGCCCCGCCGGTCTTATCGCGGCGCACGGTCTCGGCATCGGTGTCCAGATCCATGCCTGCGATGCCCCCGCCGGGAGGAGCCGCTCCGTCCGTACCTGAGTGCCTCAGGGAGGACCGCCCGGGCCGCGGCAGGGAGAAGCTGAAGGAGCGGGCCGGCAGCGCCGCGGGGCCGTCCAGGCTGACGCTCTTGGTGCGCTTGCGGCACTCGACGGAGAGGAGGTCCCGGCACTGCTTGTGGCAGCTCACACTGCACGCTGCACGAAGCGTGGAAGAGCGTTACTGCGTGGGCCCTCGCCCCGCTCCTTCTCTTGCAAGGCCGGCCTCTGGCACCCCGCCCCCCAAAAAGCCTGATTTGGGCTGGCCGGTGGCTGTAAAATAGGGCTGGGCGATGCAGGTCTAGGGACTACCGACCTGGGGTCCCCCCACGGCCAACCCCCGTTCCCCTGCCCCACTTCCAACCCGGATTTCCCAGCTTTTGCGTAGCTTTCCACCCATCCTAAAAGGACCAAGAAGCGCCTCCTCGGGGGGTTTCCTAGCGGCAGGGAGCTAATCCAGGCCGGCATTTGGGGTGTTTCTGCCCACGATCCGCTTGCCTGCGGCGCTTGTCTGCCATGACTGAGTTCAGCCCGTGGGCTGGAAAAGCTTCCCAGCGCAAGGCCACAGAAAATGCCTCTGGGCACGAGCCTGGATCTGCACTCTGCTTTCCAAAGATATTCTGCCTTCTGTCCATGCCCCGTGGCTTGCATGTTGCACCCCGTACGGACACCAAGCTCTGACCCGCCTCTCCACTTACCCCGGCATTTTAGCCCCTTCTTGTAGAGTCCCAAGATCTAGAGAGAGAGAGAGAAATCTTGTTGTTTTCCTTCTGTTTTTAGATGCTGCATCATCAACATCATCCTCATCCTCATCAAAATAAAGAGGTTGACCACAAAGAAAGAAAGAAAGAAAGAAAGAAAGAAAGAAAGAAAGAAAGAAAGAAAGAAAGAAAGAAAGAAAGAAAAATCAGGGTGACCTGGGGAATTTTGCTCACTGAACCACCTTTACTGGGAAAGCAGGGTTGCAAACTCAGAACTACACAGATCTCTTCTTTGGTAAGACAAAGAGACCTGCAGAGCTTTCATAGCGTGCGCACCTGTGCAAGCAGAAGAGGAAAAAGGCCGGAAGTGGCCTTGAATGTCACCCAAAATGACTATACTAAGGCCTCGTGGCTGTTCAAATCGCAAGACCCGGAAACCAAACCTACGCGATCCGATTTGCAAAACTTCAGGATGACCAGAAAATCACGCCTGACCTAGAAACCCAGACAAATGGGGAAGAACAGAAATAGGAAAAACCTCGGTTATTTGTTGATTTAGGGCTAAATCTTCTGCGGGTTTTGACAGAAAAACATCCCACAGGGTCGGCTTCCCCAGCAAGCCAGGGCAGGCAAGGCTGGTCGAGGCTGCAGCAGCTTCTATGGGGTTTTAGGAACGGGTCTTTCTTGCCCCTCACGAGACATGCTGGGTTTGGCCCAGAGATCTTTCGCTGTGGGACTTTTTTCTGTCTAAACAGGCATAGGATGGTCCCCGTCGAAAGCCGCAGACTTTAAACAGGACAAAGAGGCCTGTCATAGCCTCTTCCTGCCAGCTCTGCTCCCACACCCAGCTGCTGATCAGCAACTCTCGTTCCGGCATCGTTTACCGCAGAAAACCCCACACATGCTTAATCACACCCTAATACCCCACCTTTACAGCCCCACATGCAGCCCTCCTCAGCTCCAGGCTGAAGTCAGTTTTTTGCAAAATTACTGAGTTCAAGCCTGACAGGGCCCTATTTTTAATTAAAATAAAACCCCCCAAATTTACACCAGAGCTCCTGGCATTTTTTTTAAAAAACCTGCATCTTCGGTGCACTACATTCGATCATTTCCACCCCGGCTTGCCCTCAGAACAATCTGCCCCAAACTACCAGCAGAACTGGAAAGGTCAAAAGGAATTTAGAAAAAGAAAGTCACGGGGTTCTGAAAACAGAGTAACACAGACTCGAGGGTAGGGCATGGATTGGCTGTGGGTTGTTGAACTGTGGTTTATCATATGGTCTGAATCCAGCTGAGTAACAAGCCACGGTTCATAACCCAACAACCAATCAGGGGTTCTCTTCATGGGTTATTTGTGGTTAAGAATAACCATGAGACATTTGTCACAGTCCTGAGACATTTGTATAGGATGGGATAGAAATGCCCCACATACATACATACATACATACAAAGCCATGGTTTGTTAGCACAAGTGGGTTCAGACCACACGATAACCCATGGTTCAACAACAACCCGCATTCAACCCAGACTCAGTCCTTGATGGTGGGATGTCATAGAGCTGAGCCCAGTAAAGGGGGAAAGGGGCCGGAAAACACACAGAAACGCGGAGCTCGCCTCACCAGGCCCTTGCAGTGCCGGCAAGCCACGGGCCGCAGGAACGTGGTGTCGTGGAAGCTGTGGATGAAGCCCATCTTGCCGTTGAGCTCCGCGCTGGACTTCATGAAGTAGGAGATCATCTCTTCGCGACTGATGCAGCCGTCTCTGTGGGTCAGAGAGGCACATACTCAGGGACAAGACTCATCCACGGGAACTGCCCTTCCCCTGCCTCACAGACGGGGCGCACACCCGTCATGGGCCACCCGACCCCCACAGGCCGCGCCTGGCTCCCTTGACGGCTCCCTTCGCACGCCCCCTCTCCTGGGCTCACATCTGTCCCCCAGGACCTGCTCACGGCCAGGAAGCGCTTCAGGCATTGTGGGACCGCCCCTTTTGGGTTTGGCCCCGCCCACCAGCAGAATGCGGCCCCTGAGAACGTGCCGTTGGCCCCCGGGCTGGAACAGTTTCTGCACCGGCTCCAGCATCTCCCCCCTTGTGGGGGAAACTATCACAGCCGGCTGGGACTCCCTGTTTGTCTCCAGGCCTAGTTTATTTAATGGATTGCTCGTAAATGCTCCCTTCCCGCCCTCACTCCCAAAAGGACACGTGGGCTTGGCCTGGCCATTTTTTCACCGGCTGAAAACAAAAAAAGGTGATTAGTGCAATCGTAAAAGCATTAAAGGAACCATGAAAACCGCACTGATAAGAGGAATACAGACTCACAGCCTGATAAAACTGCTCTGCCCAAGTGCTCTGGCTTCCTTACCCACCAGCAGATTTTTAAATGCTAGTTTCGGCCTTTAAAGCCCTCAGCTGGATAGGGACCAGGCTAATTCAGGGCTGCCTCCACCCACCCAGCCCTCTCCATCCCTGCTGCATGCGAAACCAGTCCAAGCAAGCAGGGCCTGTTTAGTGGTGGCCAGGCGTTTCTGGGATCCAGCGCCCCAGAAGTCCCACAGGCCCCCTTGAGCTCTGCAGAGCGAACCTAAATGCATTGCAAGCTAGTGAACCAAGGTCTCAGCAGCGCCGGAGGAAACACTGGGTCAAAAAAATAAGAGAATTTCCAGATGTTACCTGGTCAGGGCCAGCTGCAAAGCCATACAAATAGCATTCAAGTTTCAGGTTCTCTAAAAGTTGTCAGTTTCTCTTCACTTCTGCTTTCTACTGACTAAAGAAGCACATCGCTGAAACCCCCAAGAATTGAAGCATGAAGAAACAGACTAGCAGAATATGCTGGGGCGGCAAAGTTAACTAACTATGTAAACAGAAGACCGTTGGAAGACTTTAATAATAAATGGAAATTTTATTATGCTTGGTACGACTAAAGGGAGTCGAGCGGAGTTTGGAAAAGAAAAGGAAAGGCAGTGGAGATTTGAAGCAATGGGAAGATGTGTTGTTTGTATGGATTAATTATTTCCTTTTTGTTCAACTCTCAAAGAGCGTTGAAAGACAGAAAGATGCATTGGGGAGTTGAATGTAGAAGCTGTTTAAAATTCCCTTGGCAACTTTGTTCACTTTGTTTATTTTAGCTTGCTCTGTTCATTTTAGTTTGCTTTGTTTTGCATTCTCTTTTATGTATTTATGTTAAGAAAATAAAGATTAAAAAAAATAAACCTTACATTTCACCCCTAAAGGAAGGACGGATCTGGGTAACAGCTGCATTTCAGATGGGCTCCTTATGACTGTTCTTTCAGCCTTAATGACAATGACCCTGCTTTGTGGGCAGCTTCAAAATGTGGCTATTTATTTCATTTCTCACAGCTCTAATCCTCCCAAAAGCTGATGTTTTCTGGGCAGATTACACTTTCAAAGAGACATTTTAAAACATTTAAAAATGCAATAAAATACTTAAAATAATGAAGCATCGTATAATCCCTAAATGAACCCCAGACATAATCGTTAGAACTAGGCCTCTGCAAGATGATGGGGGAAAGAGAGGTCTTTGCCTTGGAGCTTGGGTTAGGGTTAGAGAAAGGAGGTGCCCTGGCATGGTTTTGGTGGTTGGAATGTGTTTAGAATGGGCAGAAACGTTGAGATGCGCAGAAAAAGCTACTCAAGGGAGGCTTTTTAAAAATTGCCCTCTTTTCAGTGGAACTTTCACCCTAAATTAGGGTTAGGGATATGCCCCAGGGTAGGGTTAGGGTTAGAGAAACGAGGTGCCCTGGCATGGTTTTGGTGGTTGGAATGTGTTTAGAAAGGGAAAGAGAGGTCTTTGCCTTGGAGCTGAAAGGAGGCCTAGTGCAAGGTGAATTTCCTAGGGGAGTTTATTCCACAAAGAAGGTGCCATCACCTACAAGGCTGTGTCTTGTGGCCACCGGCTGCGCTTCCTGTGCCAGGGCTCCCGCAGGAGGCCCTGGAGGACGACAAGGATACAGGCAGGCGGATGCAGCACAAGCACGCGCTGAGATTCTGTGGACCCGACCCATTTTAAGCGTAACACCAGCCTCTCAAATCGGCCTGGAGAACAGACCGAAAGCCATGAGGAGAGTCTAAAAATCGCCGTGTTGATCCTGACACGCCTGGGATGCCGTTGCCCATTCAAGACCGAGCCATCCCAAAATACTTTGCGTGACGGCTGGGAACAAGGCACTGGATTTGGGAAAACCCACTTCTGGAGAGCTGTGATGAGGATCACAGCTAAGCTCAGGGAGACGGGGAGATCGGTCCACAGAGCTGCTAAGAAAAACGGGCTGGGACCGTGTTCACGAACCCGGTTCCACACCACCACGATCGGGGCTCCATGCGAGCACATCGTCTTTCTCGCTCTTCCCGCGCCTGTTTTTGGCCATCTGACCCGAGTTGCTCCTCAGGCACTCAGAACCGTATACTTTGATCGTGCTGACGCAACAAAGGCAACGGGGACCTTCCTTTTGGCTTTTGCAGAACCAGGAGACAGGCTTGGCTCCGAAATGCAGCCTTCGGGCAGGACTGGGAGGGTATGTGGGGGTGCTTCTCCCCCCAGAGCAACCGCCGGTGAACCCATGGGCCAAAAACGCGCTTTGAGGCACCCGCCAGGCGAAACGTTTCTTTTGCAGTTAGGAGGAGGCGTGTGATGTGCAGGCTTCGCCCATCAAAGGCTTCAGGAGACCACAACGAGCACTTGCTGCTGCCACCGGAAGGCCCGCGACCGAGAGGAAATTCCCACACGTCTCTGGGCGACGATACGGCCGGCCGGCCGTCAGAAGGCGAGTCACCAAATAAGGCCCGGAGCAGCTTGTCTACAGCGGCGGGAAGGAGCCCCTGCCGCCCGCTCAGGGTCCCAGAGGAGGGCCGGGAGACGCAAAGAGCAAGCTGGGCTGGGCGCCAGGATGCCTGGATCGTCTCCCAGGGGTTGCAATCTGTGCCTGCCAGAAGAACGTCCCGTCCGCTCCCGCATTGCTCCGCTCACACACCCCCAATTCAGGCCATGTGTTGGGAACATGCTTCTCCCCCCCCCACCCCCCGTGGCCCTAAATTGAAAAGTTGTGTGCGGAAGGTCCAGGGGGGAACAGACTTTAATGCCCCCCCCAGGTGCTGGTCCAAAGCATCTTTGCTCGGGACTGTCCTGGGGCGCAAACACGAGAAAGGGTTTCGTAGAGGTTTCGGCAGGACCTTCGGGGGTTTAGGATCGAGGCTGGGAAAGGGTTTGCCTCAGCTGTCGACCCGGGTCTGTTCCAGCAGCGGGAACCTCCAAAGGCTGCTTTTTAGAGACGTGCTTCATAGGCAGCGCCAAAGGGGGCTTTTCAAAGCACGCGTCCAGAGCAGCCGAGGAGGTTTTTTGGAAAGGCAGTCGCAGGGCCAGGACTGTCCCACCCCAAAAATATCCTCTGATGCATTTCGGTTTTTAAAAGCCTCCACGGTCACTAAGGACGTTTCGGAAAGCCTCGCCTGCAGTGGGGGAGAAAGGTCGGATGGGCCCCACCTCCCTGAGCGAGGTCGCTGTCCCGCCTGGTTGTTAACGACAGTGCCGCATGAGATCTCCTGTGTTTCTTTTCCAATAAACCTTTTCGCAACTTTCATATATGTTGTGTTGTATTTTAACACAGTTAACTCTCCATCTAACCCACGCGAAATGCCTTTTCAACTACGGCTGGCCTTTTTCAGTCAGTAACTAATAAATCTCTGGCCCACAGGCCAGACGTTCTCCATTCTCCCTTCAGGACACGGCAGCAGCTTCTCAAACTCCATATCCACTCCAAGGTTCTAGTCCTCAGTATCTTTTTATTTTATTAATTTAAGCTGCTTCTAGGCTGTCTTCAGCGGAAACTGGATGCTTGTCTCACTTTTGCTTTTGTTCCATCCCACACAAGCTTGTCCCCTAACTGGATGCTCATTGTGTCTCTTTCTATGCCCAGAAGAGCTGCTCACTCAAAATGACTCTCCATCCCCTTTCGCTTCCCTTTCACATTGTGCAACGGCGACACAATTTCTTCGTGCAAGGCCTGAACTCTCACCAAAGCAACCTCTTCTAGCCACCTCCTAAGCAAGGATGCAATCACACCCAGCAAGCTTTGCAGGATCACTTTGAAAGAAGAAAAATTAATTTCCTCTTGTGAAAAGAAATGGTGGGATGTGCTAGGGATTGCACGAATTTTTCCCTCTGAATTCAAGCATGCTTGCAACCTTCCCTTGCTTCTGGTTTTTTAACAGAAACCCCCTTGAGTGTTTTGGAATCAAAATAAAAAGCAGGACAAAGGTGGGCCTGTTTTCAATAAAATAAGCAAGAATAGAAGCTTGCAGTCAAGGTACTCACTGATTCTCATCTAGGTCGCCAAATTTGCACAGGTATGGGAAGTTATTCCGGATGATCTTAAACTCTTCCTGGGAGATGTGTCCATCTCCATCGACGTCAAAGTTTCGGAAGACAGACTGAAAGGCAAAAGGGGGGAAGAACAATGTTACCACCTTCAGATCATGGGAAGCTGCCTGCCACCCTCGCTGTCCACCCATCTAGCACAGGACTGCCAGCACTGACCGGCAGGGGCAGCAGCCAACTAAATGTCACGGCACAAAAGGAAAGGGGATTGGGAGGGAGGAGGAATAGAGGCTTCCCCACCTTCCCAGCTATATCACTCCCCACAGCTTGCTTGGAAAATAGGGGGACATGGAGGCACAGAAGGTGCAGAAAGTTCCCACAGAGGGTGGAATGTCAGCATGGCAGGGGATGATGGGAGTTGAATTCCAATGGGAAAAAGCCGCGGCGGGCCAGGCCCTCGCTTCCCCCATCTGCTTCCTACCTCGACCATCTTCTCGATGTGCTTGCGCACGACTGCCTGGTCCGGCTTGGGCTTGGGCACCGAGGCCCACTCCTCGATCACGACGGGCTGCGGGGGCGGCGTGGAGGACGTGGGGCTGGAAGGCTGGAACAGAGAGCGAACCAGTGGAGGGGCAGCCGACACACTCGCAAAATCGCACGGTGCCAGAGCTATCCGAGCCCGGACACGTGTCTTCGGATGCGGGGGACGCACAGCCGAGCCCTGCAACCTCCCCTCCCCACTGACGCACTTGTTGTGATTCGCCGCCTGCATTTCCTCCGAGGAGCATGGAGGCGAGGGGGTCGGCACCGCCACCCAGAGCCCCCCAAGCCCTGGCCCCCAAGGGACCACTCGGAGAGCAAAACGCGACAGAGGCAGAAAGCGGGAGCATCCGGGACCTGCCCCCCCGGCAAATAAACCAACGGAAGTCCAGGAACAAGCTCAGCATTGCTCCAGTACTCGCGATGCTCTCAAGGAAGCCAGAAGCTGTCAAATAGGAGCGTGGACGCCCGAATGATCCCATGAGAAAAGGAGGGGTGGGACCGGCAGGGAAACGACTAGGGGGAAAGGAAACCTGGGGCAGATTTTGACAAACGACAGAGCCGGTTTTCCACGCCAAGCCCCCGATCCACACAGGAGGATGAGCAGAGGAGAGGGGGGTCTCCGAGCATGTGCAGAGTGCCCTCTCTTGCCACTCAGTCATCACAGCATCTCTGGGACTGAGGGGGAAACCAGACCCCCTGGCCGGCTCTCCCACCTCTCACGCTGTTCCCACCCCTGGCTGCAATTTACACGGGGGCAAAGACAATGCTTTCATGTTGGGTTCCTCTTTGACCAGCTGCCACATCCAAGGGATGCTCCGCAGCAAGGAGCACATGTTCCAGGGTCAAGGCCTGGGTTCAAAGCTCAGGGCCACCTGGCGGAGGAAACAAGCTCGCCACCTCCGGGAAACAGCACGGCAGGCCCGGCACTCTTACCGTGGACTTGTTTCGGGGCTCCCGCTGCAAGGACAGCTGGTAGATTTCCTCTTCCGTCTGGTACTGGTCCAGGGACACCTGCCAAAACACAGCAAAGTGCACTTGGAGGGATGACCCCCATCCCACCCTCTCCGACATCGCTGCTGCGGAAATGCACTCGGAAAGCCGGTGGTTCCCACGTCGGCAGGAATTCTTGCTGACTAGCTTTTATTCCGGATTTGAGCTATCCGTATCCAGCAAACCGGCTCTGGGATGGGTTGGAGCACCAAGAATTGCCCCCGTGGAGTTCAGATTAAAGGGGGTGAGGAATACGGAGTCTAGAAAGGGAGCCGGCCACCATCCCTGGTTCTAAGCGTCTGTACCAGATCCAGAGTGTTCATGGAGGATTAGGACCCAGGCTCACCAGAGTTCTCCAAATTCCATTTTAAATCGCGTTCTAACTGAAGCCTCCATCTTGGCCTGCAGAAAATTTTTTGTACAGATATCCATGACGATTTTAGTGTGAACTTCTCCACTGTGTGCACTGGAAAACACACAGCTTCTCTCACTCGGGAAAGTACGCTTGTGTGCTATATTTGGCAGTGCCAATCTTTTCATGCACCTTTCTCAGATGTACAGATGCATTTTTTTTTTGGTGGTTTGCAAATGATGCTGAATGCTCAGAAACGTACGGACTTCGACCACAGACTGTGTCCAAAATGGCAAAGTGCAATCTGGGTTAATCCTGATCAAAAGTCATTTTCCTAGTCAGACAGAGAAACATTCCCTGTTTGCAAACACGGCTCATTTGTTCTAAAGTTGGGCAGCCATTCCCAACCAAATTCTGGCAACGAGTCAAAAGTTTTCCTCCGTATTTTGTGCTGCTGACGGGAGCGCAGCCAGCTAAAATGCCAGGGACAACATGAAATTGGCTGCCCCTATTCTAAATCGAGCGAGAGACACGCAGTTTACTCGGGATGGAAGATTTGAGCTATCTTCCAAAATAACGAACTATAGATTAATGCGATTCCAACAGCGAACACGGGTTTCAAACGTGTTTCTCATAAAGACAGAAGGGGTAAGGGGTATTTTTAAAAATAATTATTGCCGTGCCATGGCGGGAAGCTGTTTTGTGAAAAGCCGTCAAAGGTATTGCGAGAAACTGATTTGCTTCTTCCCAGAAGCCCTCGTTTTGTACCAGAGCTTACTTCTGCTTTTTTTGTTTTTCCAAGGGGCTGGCCATGTTCTTGTAAAAGTTTCTGTTCTATTTGGGAGACGTGACAACTCAGAAGACGCAAGAAATATCGGCCAATTGTGACCTGCACTTTGCACACGGGAATCCATACCTGAAACGGAAGGAGAGCCAGTGCCGCAGGGGTTAAGAGCGTGGGACTGGGACTCGGGCGATCCGGGTTCGAGTCCCCACTCAGCCATGGGGCCAACTCAGGGACTTGGGGCAAGTCACTGCCTCTCAGCCCGGCCTACCTCACAGGGGTGTTGTTGTGGGGACAGGACTGAGAGCCGGAGGAAGATGATGCAAGTCGCTTGGAGTTTGTTATAAGAAAAAAGCGGGATACAAATCTAATAAATAAATACTTTGCAATTGAGTGCTTTGCACAAAGAATCTGCTAGCACTCCCGAGACTTGATCTCGGCTCAGCACGCTTCCTGGCCGAGCGTGGGAAAGGAGTCCAGCGAGTGTAAGAGGGCCGGATTCTGGCCTGCCTTCACCTCTCCAGTGACAAGTTTGCTGGACTGGTGCAGAGACAGCCTCTCCCAGTAACGCCGCCAGTTCCTGACGGCCTGACGGACTGCATCAAACCAAAGAGGCCACTGGGATTTCCCGGGGGTTGAGAAAGTGAGGACGGGGGGAACGTACCATGAGCAAGTTGAGGAGGTCGGGGTTGGCCTCGAAGGGGGGGCGGATGCTCTGCACCATGGCCAGGTCACTCAGGATGCTGAACAGCTGCTGCATCTTGTTCCCGTTGAGGCAAGTGTGGGCACGGTCCAGCCAGTCGGGCAGCGCCACGTGGACGGCGACCAGGTCCTTGAGGTGCACCCCCAGGATGGGAAACTTGAACCCCACACACTCGGCGAAGCACCGGCGGTAGCGGCTGTAGTTCCCTGCCAAGGACAGCAGCTCCAGCAGCGATTCCCAGACCTGGAAGTTGCCGGGGGCAAAGGGGGTGAAGGAAAAATACAAGGGGGTCAGTTATGGGAGAAGGTGCCTCTTGAGGTTCTGCACTGGGGAACAAGGTCTGGAGGACCTACCACCTCCAGGAAGGGAGTCGGGCCTTGCTCCAACTTGAGATAGCCCTCCCCCATGAGGACTAGCCACTTGCTTTTATTCTCGCCTGAAAGTTAAGGATGTCCAGAAGCAAAGCTGTGATACAGGACATAGCCATGGGTAGCTGGGCATGGGAAAAACAAGGTCTCCAGCCCAGATACCCCCAGTTCGGTGTCCATGAGATGAGTTGGGCTGTGACTCCTGGAATTCCAATGGCCACACTGGCCGGGAATTCCAGGAGTCGCGGTCCGACCCATCCGGAGAACACGAGGCTCTGGACTTCTGCCCCAGTCGGCACACAGAAAGCCGAGCACCTGCCTCCTTCACCCTGCCTGCTGGTGGCGTCCTCCTTTGGGTCTTGCCCATTCCGGGGCCCAGAACAGACCCCAGGACTTCCTGGCCTCGCCACCTCCGGTGCCTCCTCTTCCTCGCCACCGCAGCCTGCTTGTCCGCCCTTTCAGAGCAGCCAGGCAGCGGGAAAAGCACGGAGGAGAACCCGAAGGGGGTGGCCTGGGCCAGACCCCAAAAGGCCAGCAGCAGCGATGGGGGCAGGAAGCGGGGTGAGATAGTGCCGTACCCACGCGATGCCCACGGCTCAGCCCCGCTTTGCCGGGATGACGCCCCTCACCCGATCTCCAGGCAGGGCTGGGAACCTCCGGCCTGAAACCTCGCCGGGCCCCGCTGCGCGTCCGCTCTGCTTCCAGCGTTCCCACGTTCCACCACCGCTCGCCCGGCCACCGCTTCCCTGCCCCTCGGCATGGGCTCCAGAGCACGTACCTTGGTGGTCTCCGGGCTGACGAAGCTGTGCGTCTCCTTGAGGCGGGAGATGGAGCTGTGGCTGAGGCCGCCGACCACGGCCATCAGGGTGTTGAAGTTCTGCAGATGGAGCAGCCGCTGCGAGAGAGCGCCGTCGGGCGACAGGTCAGCGGGCAGAGTCAGGCCGTGCCTGAGACCGGGGAGAGGCGCTTCCTCGCCCGGCTCACGGCACTTTCAGCATTTCCCCAGGGAGTGGGGTGGATGGGAAGGGCACGGAAAGCCAGATAAGGGCTACTGAAAACACACCACGTTCACTGCCAGGCCAAAGGGGAGTCCCTGTTTAAAAGCAGCAGGGCCCAGGCCGATGTGGAAGAACACTCTCCGAGATCCTACAGCGCTGCTGCCTGTCAGAGTAGGTGATATAGAGCTAGGTGGACAATCGGGAAGGTAGCTTTCCAAGAAAAAGGGCTTCTAGCTTCGTGGCAGAGCTCGGCATCCAAGTGCCCAGCTCCGTTGTCCTGCCCCCCTCCTGTCGAATGGATGAGTGGGAAGGTGATGGTGTGTGACTTTCTCTGACTGACACCCTGCTGCCAGCCCGAGCAGGCAGCAACGGGCTACATCAAGAAACCCTCTGACCGAGCAGAAGACAGCTCCTGAACTGCATTTTTAATTGCCAGGACTCAAGATCACACACTGTTGAAGCAACCCTGAAAATAGGCAGGGGCAGAAAACAGGTTGCAAAGCTCAGAAAGGGGAGCGGAACTTGGCAAGGTCCAGCCTTCACCGCTCCTGAGCTGTGGTGGGGTGGATCCGGGACTCGCAGGAACAAGGCACCCGGATTTTTTTACAGGCGGGGATGCCAACATCTGTCACGCCTCTCCGCACAGACTTCCCCCTGAAGCAACATCCGTCTCCCTTTTCCTTGCTGGCGAGACTTGGCTCTGAACGGGAAATTGGGGGCCGTTTGTTGTACCAAAGACCTGCTCCCTGCGGACAACGAAAATCGCCCAGATTGATCTGTGGAGCTGAAGCTATGCAGCCGCCTGCAATTTCTGGATTCTCCCGGGGCAGCGGCCAAGGGGGCTGTCGGGACGGGGACCCGCACTTCCAAAGCGACGCCGAGGGTGCCGTTCCTCACCTGAGCCACCATGACGAAGCGGGTGATGACCTGGGTGCGCTGCGGGGCGGTGGGCTTGCTCAGCACCATCAGCTGCACCCACTGGGAGACGCTGTTGAACAGGGTGATGAAGCGCTCCAGGATGGGGTTGTCCACGGTGCAGCCATGCATGACGAAACTGTGATAATCCTGGAACTGGAGAGGAGGGTTGTGGGGAAGCGCACCCCAGAACGCACTTCAGGACACAAGCGTGACACACTCGGGCCCCGGGATCCGGGCCTTCCTGGCCCCAGGTAGGAGGCAAAGACCTGACTGAAATCCAGCCTTCCGGTGTCCACTGGACACCTTTCCTGCGCTCAGCTCCGGACAGGAAGCAAGCCGAGCGGAGGTCGCGCCCACAAACGCCTGGGGGTGCCAGCCAACCCTTCTTTGTGCAACAACATCCAGCCTGCGGTTCTTTGCGCAAAGCGTCCAAAGTCAAGTGCGGCACAGCAGCACTCTGCCTGCACAGCTTCTGTATAGCCTGAAGGGCCTGATCCTGCCTAATCTTGGAAATGAAGCAGGGTCTGGCCTGGTTAGAGTCTGGATGGGAGACTGGAGTCCGGAACCGATGGTCCCCAGGCCCCTTCCCATTGTCTGGTTCTGTGATGCGCAGATTGCGCGCAAGCAAGCCCGCCACGGGGACTCGTTCGGACGTGCACACCCACGCAAACGTTTAGTGCAAGTCCAACCTTGGGCAGAGAGAAACTGGGAGCTGCTTGGGGGAATCCGATGGATCCCCACCCCAGAGCTGCTGACGGAGCTCCCTGCCTTCTGATGGTGCCCTCTCAGCACGGCAGAATCAAGGCCCTTGTGTTCAGCTAGCCTAAGAACAGCAGCACCAACCCCGTACCCATGTTCCCCAGCCAGTAGTGTCCCTAAGCAGACTGCCTCTGATACTGGAGCGGGAATATAACCATCAGGACCGGTCAGTTCTGCAAAATTTGTCCAATGCCCTTATAAAACCAAGCAAACCCCATGGTTTAGCAGTGCCTTCTTCTCATCCAGCCTGAAACTCTCAGCCAGTTGCCACACAGAATGTGGGGGGCCCAGTTTTAGGGTTCTCCACACAGTTCAGTCCGCCTCTGTCATGTCTCCCCTAACAGGGCCATGAATGCATTAAGGACAGCAAAATCAGGACTGACATTTTGGGAATTCCTCGCCCTCACCTAGACGGAAGATCTGTGCCTATTCTTCCCCACTGCACCCAGCCTGTCCCGCTGCCGCTCACTCCAGCCTAAACCTCGGGGTGGCGGGAAGCAGAGGCCGAAGATGCCCGATGTGCCGAAGGAGGCTCTCACCAGGATTTTGCTGAAGGAGCGGTACTCCAGGTGCGTGAGATGTTCGGCCAGCTCTCCTGACTCCAAGTGGTCGAAGAGCAGCGACGTCTTGCGCTTTTTCTGCGTGACGGGCTGGCGCTGGGTCACCTGCCTCTTCCACTTGTACGTCGGACTAGGAGGGGAAAGGAGAGGTCGGCCGTCAGCCAGCGTGTGCACAAGGCCATCGAGCTGGATGAATGATGCAGTCTCTGCACCGCCCGAGCCCTCCAAAGCTTTCCGCATGAGCCAAAGCCCCCCATAAGAACTGAGCATCAACCAGCCGTCGCCCGGAGCTGCCTAGACAAGGCATCACGCGCGCCCTGAATTCCTGCATTTCCGGGTGGGCCTGCCTCCACATGCAAATTCCACAATTTGGGAGCCACCGCCAAGAAAGCACCGCTTTGGGAAACAGCCATCACACCCTGTAAGCCGTAGCTTTTTTTCAGGAGCATCTTGACAAGCCCGGGAGCATATCACAAAGCCGGAAAAAGATGCTCCAAGGCAGCAATTCAGAAACGCCGTTCGCGCACATTTCCGAAAGACCGGGCTCCCCCCCAGGGGCCTGGACACTGGAAAGGTACCTCTAAGAAGGTGGCAGGTGTGATTCCAGGGGCCGGATCCAGCCCTCTGCCATCCCTCCACGCAAAAGCCCTGCTCTGAGCGTGCACCCACGGGCTGTCTGGCAGTTCTCCGGCTTCTTCGCACCTTGCTCCATGCCTCTGGGGAGTGCCACTGACTGGAAAGAGGGGCTCCCGGCCACAGTGGGCCGCTCTGCTTTGCCCCGCCCCTCTGCTGCAGCCCCGCGGGCCTCTCCAGAATGGAATCCGGCCCTCGGGAGGGAAGGTCCTGCGCCCCCACGGCTAGCAAAGCCGGCCGGGGCCCGGGGAGCGGCGACGGGGCCCCGCCGTGCACCTACACGCTCTCGATGTCAATGAGGCTGCTGTGCCGCTGATGCCCCTCCCGGCCCAGCAGCTCCTTCAGCTCCTTGATCTGGTCCGCCAGCTCCGGGTTGAGGTCGAATTCTGCCGGGAACGCCGAGATCCAGTACCTGTTGAGAGATGGACGGAGGCCAAGCCAGCAGGCGGTTTGTCCCCCTTTCAAGTCACCACCTTCCCACACTGCGACATCCGCAGTCCCGGGAAGAGGCGGACCTCCAGCCCGGGCTATTTCCTGGCTTCTTCCACTGGGGAGCCAAGGTCATGGGGTGGTTGAACTGCTGGACTGGCACTTGGGAAATCCAAGGTTCTAGTCCTCACTTGACCGTGATGCTCCCTGGCTGATCCTGGGCTAGTTGTGGTCTCTTGGCCTAGTCGACCTCACAGGGTTATTGTGAGGATAGAACAGGGAGGGGGGTTACATAAGTATCTTGTAGGATATAAATATAATTTTCATAATAATAATGATAATACCCTTTATTTATTTTTATTTAACATTTTTCTACGCCATCTCATTACTAAAAGTCTCTGGACAGCTTACAAAGGACAAAAAAAAAAACAGAAAAACCAAGAACAAATAAACTATAACAACAACACACTTTTCCCCAGCATTTTAAATTTTAGTGCCATTTTTAGTATTGATTTTATATTTTGCGTGCTGTTGTGTCCTGTTTGTTTATTTTATTGCTACCCTGAGACCTGGTAAAGAGCAAGATACAATTTAAAAAAATTTTTAAAGCTCCTGGGACCCTACAAATCATGAAATCTTTCTCATTTTAAAAAAGAGAGACGTGTACAAGTATATTGAACCACTGTGAGCTGTGCACACAGGTTCCACTCACATACCATTGCAAAATTTCCCCCTCCCACCAGGAAAATGTTTCTGGATCTTCACACAGGTAACTTTCAAGAGCCAAGCAGCCCCTGCCGAGGCACCTACCTGACCAGGTGGCATGTTTTAACCTGCAGGGAACTGTTTTCAGAGCCGTGAGTTTCCTGGTAAGTTCAGGGCATAGTTAAGGAGAAAGCACAAGGAAGAACTTGCAGCTGCTTTCACGAGTGGTAAAGAGTTTTAAAAAGGAAAAGATCTGATCATGTTAGTGCCCAGACCTCTGGCTGCCACTAGCTGCCTTTTGATGGGTTGGGGAGGTTATATAAAACTGTGAAGATGAAAGCACAAACAGTATTTTGGAGAATAAGATCTAGGAGATAGGTTGAAAGGTACACCGTGTATAGCTTTGAAGGACACCCAGACTGGAAGAAAATTAAAAGCAGATAAGCTTAAAAGGGTCCAGAGGAGGGAAACAGAGATAATCTGGGGACTGGAGGCCGAGCCCTGCGAGGAGACATGGAGAGAACTGGGCATGTTCAGCATCAAGAAGAGGAGACTGAGGGGGACCTGATCTCTCTCTAGAAGCACCTGAAATGCTGTCGCAAAGAGGGAGGTCAAGATCTCTTCTCATCCGCACAGGACACGGAATAACAGACTTGAGTCAGAAGAAGCCAGATCTGAATGGCCTAGGGAGGTGGTGGGGTCTCCCGCCCTGGAGCCCTTCAAGATGCCCTCTGAGGAGGCTGCTTCACCTGGGAGTCCTGCCCTGAGCAAGAGGCCAGACCCGATGGCCTTCTGCCCCCTTCCAAGTCTGCTCTTCTATGAATTCTGGAGAAATCAGGGGAAATCCAAGCTTAAAGCACTCTATTCGGCTCCTGCAGTTTCCTAGGGTGAAAAACAGGACTATTGCAACCAAGGAAGGAGAGAGAAAAAACGGATGGCGTTCAGAGCCTGACGCTGGAAGAGTTTTGCAAATCCTAGAGCAAAGCAAGCCAGAACGACACCTGGATGATGAAAGCAAAGCTTTGGGTACATCATGAGAAGAAAAGACGTGCTCGAGAAGGCCGTCCTGCGACAGAACGTTGAAAGCAGGAGCAGAGCAGGAAAATCGAGGATGGCGTGGACTGATTCCACCAAGCGAGATGCAGCCCTGGGTTTAGAACAGCTGAGCAGGGCATTTTGGGGGCTTTCATGGCTAGGATCGCCGTAAGTCGGAGACGACTTGGTGGCACGTAATGAAAGGGCCAGACCTCAGTGACAGGAGGCCTCAAGCACCTCCAGGTAGGGCAGGAGGAACTCCCGGCAAGCCAGACTCGGCACCCAGGGTTTGATGTGAAGGAGCAAGCGCAGCTGCAACCGTTCCTCTTCTCTCTCCCGCCGCCAGCCTCACACGATTTGCCTCATTATCCTTGCAGTGGGCAGCTTCCCACATCTGAACCCGGCAAGACTGGCAGAGCGGGGCAGCTCTGAACCCGCTCCAGAAGCTGTGGCTTGTTCAGAGGTTCTGGGTGGCTTCAAAGCCGCCGCCGCCGCCGCCCTCACCAGCCCCGCACACCTGTGCAGGTGTGGACTACAAAACCCGCAGGCTTACAAGTCTAATGCACTGTGTGCCTTGGGCAACAGCCTGTGGGGAGAATCCACCAGCCTGTCTTTTCCCCTGCAAACCCGGCTAGTAAAGGGCAGGTTTTGATGTCTGCATGTTTTGCCTTTGGGGTTGCAAAGTCACAAAGCAGCCTTCCTCACCCACCACCCTTAGGCAATCATGGACTAGCCTTCTCCAAAGAATTTCCTCCATCAGGTGGGTGGAATATTCCGCTTTCCCCACACGGCTCATCCCACCACATTCCAAGCAGCGGAAAGTGGGCGGAGGGCAGAACAGCCCCGGCCTCACAGCGCCCCGGGCAGAGGTGGGGACAAAGTCTGCATGGTCTCGAGAAGGAAAATGTAAATTATTTATTTAGCGCTAATTGCTTGTTTCTTTAAGCATGATTGCTCATTACTAGCCATGAAATGTCAAAGGGGGAAAAACCAAAGGGATCTCAAAGAACAAAGTGTTTGATGTTTCTTTGGCTTGGAGACTCAGGCTGGAAAGGTTTAATTAGGAAAGATGCTACAGCAGGGAGAAACTCAGATGGGGTCTGAGCTGCTCGCAACCAGCCAAGAAAGAGATCTTGGAGCTGGGCAGGCCTGCGTGCTAATATCTCGACATAGGGATGCTGCAGCTCACAAAACTGGCCCTCTTTGGTGGAACCGAAAACTAAACTGCCAGTCATGCTGATGTTGCACACAGAGGATCACAGAAGAGTAGAGTTAGAAGGGACAAGAAGGCCATCGAGTCTGCCCCCTGCCCAGGGCAGCACTTCCAGTTAAACCATCTCTCCCAGTTGGACCTTGAAGGCCTCCAGTGCGGGAGAGCTGACAACCTCTCTTGGTCATGGGACACAGTAGGACGTTTCTCCCGATATCCAGCCAGAATCTGGCTTCCTGCAGCTTGAGCCTGTCATTCCGTGTCCCGAACTCCAGGATGACCGAGAAGGGATCTCTTCATCCTCTTTCAGACAGGCTTTCAGGTACACATAGAGAGCTATCCTATCTCCCCTCGATCTGCTCTTAACATTGTCCTTGTTAAACTTAGATTCCGCTAAATTGGCCCGAGGACCCTCGACAAGAAGCTCGCAGGTGTTCTTTTGAGAGACAACTGAGCCAAAGTAACATTTGAGCATCTTCTTTGTCATCTGCTCTCATTTTGCCATCCACATGGCACTGCTGAACACCTGTTCCCTCCATCTTTCACTTTGGACATATCCAAAGAAGGCTTTTTGTTGCTTTTCGCAACAACTAGCCTGGGGGACTTTGGGCCAGCCACAGCCTCTCAGACCAGCCTACCTCACAGGGTTGCTGTTGCGGGGATAAGACTGAGAGAAGGGGAATTGTATAAATTGGCTGGTATTTCTAGGCAAGATATAAAAATAATACATAAATCCAGGCTAAAAGCTGCAAATAGATGAGGCTGTCATGAGAATAAGCCCATCCCATAAAATGCAGTGAACAAGGCTTAGCAAATGCCAGTCCAGTAGCTAGAACATGAACCACCTATATCTAAATTGGGATTACCTGGGAAAAGCAGGGCTCCAGAACAACGTGGTGGCCCCATGTCAAGAGATACCCTTTCCAAAACTTCAAATGCATTGAGACTACTACAAGTCCCATCTACAGAAGGACACAGAGGTCCTGCTGGAGGCACAGTGGTTGCGTCCGGGCTCGGAAAGGATATATTTGAAGCAACTTGGCAGCCAGCGCCGAGGACGGGATGTACCAGGGGTGCATCATGAGGAACATCCGGACGAGCTGGGGGTCGTGTACCTTGCCCTCGTCATCTGCAGGAAGATCACAGAGCAAAGCGGGGCGAGCCCCTTACTGCTGCGTCGTGGGTTGTGACTTTCTCGGTTGCCTCCCGCCGCGCAACGGCAACTGCAGCCCCGATTTGCTCCTTCCACCAAACTCCTCCCTGCCGGCCCCAGAATCAAGTCAGGCATGGCTGGGCACTGGTCAAGGCCTCACGCCCAGGGGGGCCCACTGCAGAAGCCCCCTGCGCTTGCTCTTTCTCTTCCCCGTGGCAAAGCCCTTGTCTTTCTGCCTGTCCGCGTCTCGTTCCACCCAGGCAGTTGCTATGTGGCTTTGCCCCTGAATTTGCTGGCTAAGCAAGTCCCAGCAATGACGGGAAGAGGCCGAATTGCTGGTGGACGCGGGGAGAAGGAAGTGGATGCTTTGAGAGGGCGGGAGAAGCAAAGATGGGATCTGCATTTGCTTCAGTTTGGACTTAGTTCCGAATACTGCGCATGCCAATGGGGGAGTCCAAAACAATGCACAGCCTGTATGCCTCGGGGATTTTACTGAGCTGGAACAGCAGGAGCAGAAACTACAGAAGAGAAGGGTCTTCAGGGCATCAACAGACCAAAAGCAGCCCCATACCCACTTAAGTCCCAGGTCGAGCCCTCCCCAAAATGTAACCCCAAGCAAAGCAGTCACCCCGATTTCCTTACCAAAAGCTTCAATGCAGCCATGCAGAAGTTCGTCCACTGTGCACCCCTTTTCAAGGTCCAGACTCTGAGACATTTTGCCCCGCTGATCCTATCCCTCGAGACGAGACGTGGCAAGACTGTGCCGGGTGGATCGGTTTCCCCTGCGTGGGGGAGTGGAAGCTGAAAAAACCAGAGAAAGTTAACAAAGGTTCCCGGATTTGCAGCATGTGTATGGAGCTCTTCCATGAGGAACAGACGGCAAAGAGCACACGACGATAAAACTGAGATTCCCAGAGGAACAAAGACTAGCGCTTTTCCAAAAGCCAACTGGTGCATTTCAGTAGCAGGGTATCCGAGGCAGGGCTTGCTGGCACCCCTGCAAGCTTGTCCAGGCCTTAAAATCGACACCGTCAGACTCACCATTACGGACCGGGCCTGTTTAGCAGTGGCCCCATGTCTCTGGAGCACGGTCCCCACGGGAGGCGAACCTGCCCCCTCTTGGCTATTTCTGAGCAGATGACACAAAGCATTTGTCCCAGGCGTCATTCTGTAAGAAGGACTTTGGACAGCAGTGGTATTTTTTTAATTTGTAATTGGAGTGCTCTATAAGCACTTTTAATCGAAACTCCATCAGTGAACTGACCAAACGGGCTGCGAGCAGTGCAGAAACGGTTCTGGGAGGTCGAACGCTCGCTGCATCCTTTGCTGTGCCAAGTTTCACGCATCCCAGACTTAAAGTGGCCACTGATGGATCACCAAACAAGAGGACTCACGTGGCCCAAAACGGGGGGCCAGATGAGCAGTGACCTGCATATAATCTGAACAGAATCATGCTCATTTAGGGATGGGTATTTAAACAGAAAGCGGGTACCTCGAACCCCTGCTAGGCAAGCAGCTTGCCTGGCTGCTCTGTCTGCCGCCCAGGAGCAAACCTTCTGAGCGTGCTTGATCTTTAAGGAGAGCCCCGATGCTTGACCACAGCAAGGACTACCTAGCCCAGCATTTTCATCACACAACAGCCAACCGACTGCCCCAGCGAGAAGCCCTCCTGCAGGACACGTGCAAAACAGCACCCGAGTTCCCCAGCGCTTGGGGTCCCACTGCGACTGAGCCTGGAATGAGCATGTGACCATAAGGACCACCAGCTGCATGAACGAAGTTTCCAAGCTTCTATCCATCCTGGGCTGTAAGTTTTAAGGTATAAAGCACTGCGGTTGCATTGCTAGGAGAAAGTATCGTCTTTAATATTTACAACACTTGGCTTTACAACACAAACAAAAAGCCGGTAGTCCCCGAGCCCTGGATGGCTCAGCTTTCTCCCTCTGAGGTTGGAGATGGGGCTCCGACCTCGGAAAGGGGAGCCAAGCACTGAGAGAACTTCACCAAGGTCAGAAAATGCTGGCTGGGGATGCCAAAGCTGTTGCTGCGGAAGCCATGCAAAAGCTCGGTCCCTTCCCAGACTTATAACCCATCCTCCTCTCCAGTTCTAACTCTGACACCGAAAGGCTCAGAATACTTGGCTCTGAGCGCGCCTTTGGGCTGTTTTCGGACATCTGAATCTAAGCCTCCCGTCCCTCTTGAACGATGCCGGGCCGTAGCCCTCTCTGCTCTGTTTGGTAGGAGGCGGAGGAGGCTGCGGGGAGCACGGTGCTGGGAGAGGGGCTCCTTTCCACCGTTCTGACCTGGGATGGAGCCAGGGCCTTCTCCCGCAAACAAGGATGGAAGCCACTTGTGTCCTTGGGAAGCTGATGGTGCAAAGTCACCGCGCGGCTGCCCCCTTCCTCCCTCCGCCCCGAGTTTAAAAGGATCCGCTTGTTTGGCTGCGTCCGTCCATCCTTATCGTCCCAAGTGAGGGAAACAGCTGTGGAATGCTTGGAAGGCACCCAGGGACCCAGGCCATGCGCCAGCACATGACTCAGGGTTTGGAGTGGCTTCAGGCAGGCCTGGGAACTCGGCCGGCTTCTCGGGGGGTCCTGAGCGTGGAAACACAGGCCTGCAAGAGCAGCTCGGGCCTGAGCCGCGGCCACTTTGGAGGGAAGATTTCGGCCATGATGTAAGCACATCCGACCCAAGACCCGGAGCAAGCCAGGACGGGGGCGCTTCTGCACGCACGTCACCCTATCACTGGGATATCAATTTCCCCAATGTCTCCTCTATCTAAAAGCCTCAGTGAGCGCAACTAAAACCCGCCGAGACTCACTACACCCACCTGCCATTTGGCCCCGCCCTCCCCTTTGGCCCCTCCCCTTTGGCCCATTAATTGAACGTAGGATCCGGTTCTCTGCTGATAGAAGCTCGGCATCCCATCTGGTTTGTACAACGGGGACAGTGAAGGCTTCCTCTGGGCTTCCTCTGGGCCAGCCCCTAAGCCCCAAATCCATGGGTCTGGGGCTGGCTTCAGAACCCCCCAGGCTCACCTTCCCCCCCACGTATCCTATATACACCGCAAGAAGTCAATCGAGCAGCCTGGGACCACACACTCAGGGCGGCAGAGCCCAACCTTGTAGCATGCACGCAAGAGAACAGCACTTCTGAGCATGTGCAGAGTGCTTTACCCTGCCGTGGCCAGCTCACACATGCCAAGGAGTAAGGGAAGGGGCTGGCGGGGCAGAGGGTGTCGCTCTGGGATGCGTTATGGGACAAACGAGACCTCGGGCTCTGGTGCCCGCGTGCAAAAACCCCACAGTCCCCGCCTGGGCTTGCCGGCGAGAACGCTGCCGCTTCCTTGGAACGTGTCAGCACCTGTGAGGGCTGGGCTGCTCTCCGGCTTGACTGGGATTCAGGGCAATGGCGCCTTCCCTCAGGGCTTCTGGAGGGAGGTGTCTTAGTGGAGGCGCGGTGGGACCTGGGCACACAGGATGCCACACCAGAAGCACCTTACGATCGGGGTCCGGAGGTCACCTGCCACCCCAGCTGTCCCTGGGCCCTCTGCGCTTTGCTGCGCCCCCACAGTCGCTGGGCAGCGAGACGAATCTCCCAGCGACACAACGGCACTAAACTATAAAGCCTTTTTGTGTGGGTTCCTCATGGCTTGGACCGTGGCGGAGGCGTCTGTACCCGCATCCTTCTCCAGAGCCGAAGAATTAGGATCATCGGAGCCGCACCCCGGGACACGCGGCTGCCAAAGCAACCCTCGGAGCGAGCCCCCAACTTCCAGCAGCAGCCCTGCGGCATGTGGGACGAAGCGGACTCGCCCCTGCCAGGAAATGGTCCTTGGCAAAGTGGCCGGAAAGCCCCACGGCAGACGGGGCTACCTCAAAACCCTTCGCACTGAAACCGGGAAACGGCCGCTGTCGCTGGGGAAGAATCGTTCTCCTGCATGCACCGTGGCACTGAGGACGGGGCTGCTAAGGAAACAGAGGAGCCTGCAGGTTTTGGCAGGGGAACTCAGCCGTCCTGCAGGTGCCGACGCACCGGAACGGTGCTCCGGAAAGCCCTGGCGCCACACCACCGCCAAGACCGCCAGGTGTGCGTCAGAACCCGAACTTGGGTGTTAGTGCAGCCTGCCTCTTGCCCGCCCCTTCGCCGCTTTCTCTGCCCTGGCCTGCGGCTCATGCACAGAACGGGCTCTCCGAGCCCGGCCTGGTTGAGTCTCCCTCTCTGCGCAGGAGTGTGGCCACTCCGAGGAAAGGACCTTTCCACCTTTTTCTTGGGGAATCAGTGCAGGTTTTTCCAAGGGTGCCCAAAGCTGCTTTAAGCCTCAAATAAGCCACGACACAATGCCCACGTTCACCCGGCACAAAAAATCCCACTGTAGCGTTTTGAGGTTGCAAATTCGAAAGCGGGGCAGCCACTGCAGACTTGAGCCACTGTGATGTGCAAACAGGCCGGCTAGGAGATCGCGGCTGCCTTCGGAGCCCTCCAAAATGCAGTAATGCCTACCGAGATGACCTTAAAAGGGATTTAGCCAGATCCACCAAGCCCATCAATAGCTTTTGTGACAGTTGTGTTACTTCTAGCATTAAAGGCATCGAGTCTCCTTGCTCGGCAGGAAAGTACTGTGGGCCAGCCTGTCTGGCTTATGGGCAGCTGTGCAAACCCACAACTCGATGGAGACCTGCAGGGTTTCTGCTGTGTTCTCACACCCCCTTTCTATCTGCACTTGGGTGCAGCTTAAGTGAACCTCCGTGGTCGGGGGCAAATGCAGGCAAGCACAGTGCCAGTCCTCATGAATCACTCTCCCAAGGAGAGGTCACAAACACAGGCAGCCGCATTGTCCACGCCAGCAGTTTCCACCTTCAGCAGGAGCAGGTCCTTGGTCAAGCTCCTGGATCTGAATCCGGATTCACCCCCAAGTCACCCCCAAAACATCTTGCTTTACAAGAGTAGGGTATTGTTGGGAAAATGAGAGCCAGTGCGGTGTCGTGGTTAAGAGCAAGGGACTGGGAGTCAGACGATCTGGGTTCGAGTCCCCGCTCAGCCATGGAGCCAACTGGGTGACTCTGGGCCAGTCACGGACGCTCAGCCCAACCTACCTCACAGGGTTGTTGTTGTGGGGATAAGATGGAGGAGGAGAATGATGTAAGCTGCCTTGAGCCCTTCGTAGGAAAAAGGCAGGATATAAATCGAAAAATAAATAAAATAAATAAAAAAATAAAAAATAAATTCACCCTTCTGCTAAAGGAGGGATTACAACTCATCTCAAAGTGAACATCCTGTGCAGGGTGGCAGAGAAGGTCAGAGTCCCAGCTCATTTGATTTGAATGTGATTTTTACATTTTGTTGCATAATTTTTCTATCTGTTTATTATCTGCACCTTTGTATTATATTCCTGTTGTCCATTCTTTGCAGCTGCAAATGGGTCAGAGAGCTACTGGGTGGTGTAGAAATACAATATACTCAAAATAATAGAAAAAAACTATTTCTATGAATAGTGGTAGTAGTAATAATAAAACTGGGAGGATCTGAGTTAAGCTTCCCTTAACCCCAAAACTTTCACAATGACTTTATTGCTTTCTTTTCTCACAGGGTTTTTGTGGGCCGGGTTCAAATCCCCACTCAGGTGTGAAGGTCTTTGGGTGACCCTGGACCATTTTCCCTCAGTCCAGTCAACCTCACAGGGTTGTTGTGAGCACTGGAGGCAAGCTCCACATTGGAGCTCCTCAGAGGTAGGAGAAGATTACAGGGTAAATACCATCCTAATTCCAAGTTATTCCAGCTTCTCTCCCCAACACTATGCATGGAATCCCTACAACGGAATGTCTTTGTATGGCAGAACAAGATTATTATTAATCTTTTAAAACAAGCCTTTGTGCTCGGAAATTGTGGGCTGGCTTTTTTCCTGCGGGAAATATTTTTAGCTAACTTGGGCGCGCGGTTTTTTGGGCTCAACAGCCAAGCGAGAGGACGTCAAGCGGGCAAAACCTCTAGCAGACAGGCTCCCCGAGGCAGAGGGGCTGCTTGGGGGGTGCCCTCCGTCTCGATCTCACAGCTTTTTAGTTCCACTCACCCTCTCTTGGAAGCAGATGCTCTGATGCATCCGAAGCTTCCCCGCCTTCCCAGGCATTGCGCACAACGGCCTTGTTGCAAAATATCAGTCACACAAACAGCAACACATTGCAAAATGCTGTTTCCCAACATTCGCCTCCCATCCTCAGCGCCATAAATACACGGAGCACAAACATTTATCAACACCGGCAGTGGCAGCTGCTGCTGCTGCTCCACTCACAAAGCGCATTCAACCGATGTGCCGCAGGGAGACGAGACGGCAGTCGCACAAACACAAAAGGAGAAACCCACACGGGTTTTTCTTAAGCATGCAAAGCTTCCACATAAAAGGGTGCGCAAACAGGCCTTCTGTGCACCACCCAACCTATGTATAACCTCACAGGAGGCGTGTGTGTGTCCACACATGCACTTCCTCCACGCACAAACAAGATGTGGTCATTTCACGCTGCAGTGCACAGAGCTTTCCTGCCCAGAACGAACGTGTCCGCACCACAACTGATCCCACAACCATCCAAGGGTCCAACCCAAGCCCAAGCGTGTGGGGTCGCCACCAAACGGCGCCAGCAGTTAAAACCCCACTGACCGCCTGTTCAACGTACGCCGCGTGGCCTCAGGTCAAGCGATGCGACCCAAGGCAGGACGGTCGGTTTCTGGCACCTGGAGCTGCGCGATGGCTCCCATGGAAGGGGGGATGACCTACCTGTGCCCACCTGGCTCTCGGCTAGTTCTCAGGGATGGCGCTTGGGCAAAGGGATCCACCGACACCAAAGGGATCCACCAACACACCCCTGTTCAAGGATCGGGCATGGGAGATCCTGTCTTCAAAAGAGATGCGGGTCTTCAAAGCCCTGGAAGCGGCACCCCGGGCACCCCCACCAGCTCCCTTCCACAGGTGCGTGCCCAGGAAAGGTGGCTGGCACACAGACGGTAGCGCCTGGGACACATTCGGCCCCCCGCCGCCTCAGAAGTTCCTGCGCCTCCCTCCCTCCCTCCCCCGGTGGCCCTTCCCACTTGCAAGGAGCACGGTATGCTCAGAGTCGGTCCACCGCACCCGGGGCTCTAGTCCTCATGGAAAGCTCGCGCCCCCACCCCGGCAGACTGCGGAAGGGGGGCAAGCGCTCCCTCCGCACATGCCCCGCGCCGCTCGCGCCCGTCGGGAGCGGGGGGGGGGG